GAGAGAGAAAGAGAGAGAGAAAAGAGAGAGAGAGAGAGAGAGAGAGAGAGAGAGAGAGAGAGAGAAAGAAGGAGAGAGTAAAAAAGGAAAAAAAACAAATAAAGTCAAAAAAAATTCTATTTGGAAATTATATGATACCATTTGAAGAGAATGAAAAATAATTTTCCAATTGATATGACTCATGTAATTCAAAAAGAGAGAACGAGAGAATTCGAAAAATGCTCTGAGTTCTAATGGGCTTTTCCTATCCATATATAGAATTAAATGATTGTCGTCATATATAGGCCTCGGGCTATGTTTCTTGGCTTTCTCATTATGTTTTACTCAAGGTTTATAGCTGTAATTCAGACATTGATCAAAGCCGACAAATTAAAAGTTTTGGGGGCCACATACAAGTCTATTATTACTTTTTTTTTAATATTATTGTCGTTTAAGCTTTTTATGAATTGAGATAGTTTAGTAAGTGAAAAACAATTTTTGTTCGACTCTTATAGTAAATATAACTGAAAAATGCTGTAAAGTACAGAAAAAGTAAAGTTATAGAAGGTTTGACTTACAAATGTATCAAGTTGGAAACAAGTTGAATGAAGCTTCTTCAGATTCCATTATTATCTAATTAGAAAAGCACAAAGTACAACAGCTGAGCCAAAAATATAAATTACTTTGCAAATTTCATTGAATTCTCTCTTCTCCTTCTTCTTTTTTTTCAAAAAAAAAACTGTTTTAATCGGATAAGGAAGTTGTTTGAATAATGCTTGTTGACAGTATCATATCGGCAGTACGATTGTACTTGCAACAATGACGCAATGATAAGAAAAATTAATTAAAAAATCAAAAATTGAAAAGATGGAGCTAAAAGTAAAATGGGAATTTCATGACCGTCTGACACATCGTTTAGGCGTCAGTTTAATCAGATTTCTAGTGATTGCTCGTCTCAGAAAGCCTTATTTGCTTTGAAGAAAATGCTTGTTCAATAGCTCTTTGACGAAAAGACATTTGTCAAGAATACAATGTTTTCGTAATGTTCTCCACACAACATTTTCATTAAAATATGTATTAATTACAGAAAAATTGAATTTTTTTGCTGAGATAAAGCTCATCTTACAGCTTTAGCAACGCTATCTCCATACCAATAGCAATGAAAGAAGTAAAAAGTCACAAGAATGAAGCTTAAGTATTGCATTTACAGAAAAAGTTAAATAGAATGCGTTGCCTGAGGCAAAACACAATCACCTGGTTAAACTTCAGAAATCTTTAGCTACCATGACGACTGATATAGCTTCAGAGAGAAAGAGAGGAAGAGAGAGAGAGAGAGTGAAGGAAGGAGAGAAGAGAGGTCGTCAAACATTCAAAACACTGTTTCCCCTTAAATTTGTACAAAATTAAGCTTTATTCTTCAGAATATTTGCGAAATTAAGAGAAATTTGAATTGAAAACAAGGCTCAAAGCCAACGGATTGGCTTCTTCCTCCTCGATTCCGAAGCAGAAGATGAAAAATGTAATTCTGAACACTTTTCTCTTATGCTTATAATAATTATTGGTGAATATTCCAGACTGGGAAAAGCTCGGATTGTGTGAATGACGTCTTCTCTCGCTGCCTCTCCCGTTCATACTCCCTCCTTCATCGCATTTTTTTATTTTCTTTTTTCTACCCTTCAACACAGAAATGAATCTGTTTCTGGAATATGAGAAGACCAAAACAATTATATTTAAGGTTTGGCAATGGGATCATGTGGGTTATGGGGATATAGTTGGAAGATGAATGAAAAAAATAAAACGTTGCCTGAAGGCTCATATAGAGGTCACAAGCTGAGATTTTGTGAAGGTCAAGTATGTTTACATGAAAAGAACTAAATGAAAATGAAATTGAAACATATGAGAAGTAAAAGACAAAACAAAAGAGAGCGGAGATGCTTGGATGGGTAGTTGAAATGAGCAGAAAGAAGTGAAGTCGATAGCACTATTTCTGATGAAAGGACATTGGAAGTAGGATTAAAGGCTTTTTCACCATCAAATAATGTTTAAAATTATAAATGAAAAGGAGACAAGTTATGATAATTGAGAGATAATTATATGAAATGAATTTAATGAATAAAACCTAAGAAGGGAGGGAGGGGGGGGAAGGAGGATATAAATGGCGAGAAAAGAATTTTTGCGAACAATAGAGACGAGCTGGTCAACAGGAATAGTAGTAATATGCTGATTGGTGATGGTAAAGACAACAAGGGAATAAAGAAGGGATTCCTTTGGAAAAAAGAAAGAAATAACGAAAAGAAAGAGAATGAACACGAGAAAGAGACTGACAGTAGGAGTGGGTGAGAGTTAGAGCGTGAATAAGACAACCGTTCACCTACTGAATGCTCAACTAGAATGCGTGCTCTTTACTTCAAAAATCACGTACGTTTGAAACTTTTGGAAATATCTTTTTTCTACTCTTTCATTTTTCTCATTTTTTTAACTCCAATTAGATGTGTTTTTGATTTTGAATTTGGGGAATGACAAGTTGTGGCGGAAAAGGCAAGTTGCAGTTCATGCAAAAGAGCAATTTCAGGACTGAAAAAGTATTTATTGAGAATATTCAAATGTGAACCGGAAAGCGAACGAGTTCCTTTGTTTTCATTTCTGTCAACTGTTTCATCTTTCTGGCAGTAACTTTGCTTTGAAACAGAAGAAGAAGATTTGAGTCAACAGAACTCAGATGATTATCCACAATGTACTCCAAGTTGTGTTCATTGAAAACTTATTTTTTTCTATTTTTCTTTCATTCTCTTCCTTAATCGTTGAGCGGTCATGAACATACATGCACACGAACCAGATGCTTTGCTGAAAACAGCATGATTCTGAGAGCTCAGAAAGAGTTGACAAGAACCTAGTAAGCATGAAGGGGCCAGTAGGCTTTTCATTCTCTCGACATAACACCAGGAAAATAAGAAGAGAAATAAAAAAAAAGAGTTCAAGAAAAATATCTATCTCTCTATATACTATATATAAATATATGTATAAAGTGAGAGAGAGAGAGAAAGAGAGAGAGAAAGAAGAAAAAGAAGTAGAAAGAGATAGCCAAATAGACATAAACAGATAAATAAGGATGACAGCCTGTCAAGATATAATTACGCATTGAATACAATTATTCATATCTATTTCCTTTTTTTGTTTTGTTTCTAAAAAAGTGTTATTTAAAGAAATGAATATCTATAGTCATCTAGAGAAGGTGGTTGATGTAAGACTTCTACGTTCCTTCTTAATCTGCTGATTCTAAGGCCTCTCACCGTTGGATGACAAAGAAAAAAAATTGCATAAATGACATCGCAAGATAGTTGAGATTGTAGTTGAAGCTTGAAAGAATTAACTTCTTTCTCAAGTACAAGACTCAGAATTGTAAAATTGGCAAGACAAAGATGACGAGAAAGAGATAGAGAAAGAGGAGGGAGGGAAGGAGGGAGGGAAGGAGAGAAAGAGCTAGGGAGGGAGTGAGACAGAAAGTTTAAAAAAAATTGGCTGTCGAATGAAAAGCTTATCCAATGAATTCAGTTAAATTCATCAGATTTTGCTTCATGTGAACCGAAAAACTAGAAGAAAACAACGATGTAAATAGAGGACGGAGAACAAGTATTGTATAAGAATTAAATTGAATAAAAAAGAAAAGAAAAAAGAAAAAACTACGAAATTTAAAGATTTTATTGTTTTCACTCTTTCTTTAGAACAATTTCAGAATGTGCGACTTTAGTTTGAAGCCATTGGATCGTGTTTAAGAACCATTGGAATGAAGAAGAAGAAGAAGACGACCGTGACTTCGAAGTTTGAACACTAAGAAAGAAAATGTTTTTCAAACCTGATAAACATTGCAAATATTAAATTATTAATTTATCAAGTACGGCCGAACAGAAAATATTTTTTTTGAAACATTCAATAAGACTTTTGGATATTATAATGAGTCTCATGATAATTGGTTTGAAACATCTCAATAAAGATGAAGCTTAAGATATAGAGAATGAAGTTACATGAAGATTAAGAGGGAAAAAAGGATTTGCATACAAGTATGAGAGAGTAAGAAAAGAAATTGGAAAGGTTCTAATAGAAGAGAGGAAAAGGAGATTAAGAGGGAAAATCGAATAAAAGAGTTGACAACACATAACAACAAAAGGAAAATCAAAAACCTTGTTGCAATGAGAAGAAACATACAGGTAAAGACACAAAGCATATGTTTTGACGTTGAAAAATGAATTAAAATTAGAATTACAATGAATTTCAAAAAGATTTTTTTTTTGTTTTTTACAATACAAGACAATGGAATCAATAAACATATAAGGCAAGAGACAAGCTTTAACATGAATATTCAATGATCCGTTTTGTGATTTCGAAGTAAATCCGCTTGGCTTAACGTCATTTCATCTTTAAAATAAGAAAAAAGTAAAATTTAAGTTATAAAAATGTAATATTTCATTAAATAAGCGAGAAAGGAGAAGGAGAGGGAGGGAATATAGTGAGATACAACCGGTGTATGCGTCTAGAAAATGAAAAGTGAAGAAAGTCATTCATGCGTCTATAATATGAATGGAGAATACGTGAAATGTTCACGTGAAATGACGTGGCCATCAAAGAAATGAAAATCTGAAAGAATGTAAGAACGTGAACGAAATGGTCATTCAAAGGACATCTGGACAAGAGTCGTGGGAATCTATACATCAAATTACTAAAAAATTCTTTTAAGAACGAAATCGGAAACTCAACAAAGCTTTATTTCTCCGATTTCTATTCAATTTTTTTTTCTGATGAATAAAGATGTTCAAGAATTTACATATTTGAACGAAGAGGATAAGCTTGATGATTAGGTCATATAGTTGATGGTTGATGAAAATATAAAATAATATTTTGTTTATCCATATAATTATATATATAAATACGGTATAAATGACATATTTTTAGATGAGTTTGTGTTGAGCTTCATCTTTCCTATGAGGATTACCCGAGCCAAAAGTTGTTAAAATCTGTATTTTTGCATATTTGTGTTGTTCAAATGAAGAAGCCGATCGTAGCTTCATGTCCATTACTGACGAAATTCACAAAGTGATAGTCAGTTTAATCTCTTTAATCTATTAATTACATTTACATTCAACTTTTCATATTGAGAAGTAATTTTTGTCTTTTGAATACAAAATATGACCTCCTACCAACCCATCCAGTGGAAGCTTCATTGCCTTCACTAAGCATCTTTCACTGGACAGATGTGACAAATGAAATTTTGAAACTCACACGACGTTCAATCATTTTCTTATGAAGAGTAACATCATCTCATTAGTTACTTTATTTCCTTTTGGACTAAAAAAAGATGTTCTCCATATATATATCCCCCTCACAAGCACCAACATCTGACGTAGATCAGCTATCTATGGCTTCTGACTCATCTTAACTATATAAAATAGTTGAAAGAAGCATTTCATTCCGTTTCCCACCTTTATTTCAGTTTTCTTCATATTTACGTCCAAATATACAATTTTAAACATTTTATTTTGCTCATTTCAAGGTAAATCATGAAGTTGTCAGCTCTTTTCTTCTTACTTTCAACCCTCTTAACAACATTTGCATTTGAGAACGTGCAGATGGCAATGGAAAAAAGGAGAATAGGTAAGCATAAGCAGTTGATGTTCATCATTGAAATATGCATTTCAGGAATGCGACTACCCAATCTTCTTTCGCTCCAATCACCACAGAAGAGACGTATCGGTAAGCATATAGTTTGCTAATACTAAAATAAATCCTTTAAAGGTATGCGATTACCTAATATCATATATCTCCGTGGAGAGCATTCAGCAGAGAAGAAGTTCAGCCGAAATTGGAACTGAAAGTCATTTCATCTCTAAAAACCATATTTCTGTCCATTTTTCAATGAATTCATTGAAAAATCATCACAAATAGAAATAAAGATCACAATAAATCAGAGAAAGAGTTGTTTTTTCCAAAATATTTTTTTCATTTTTTTTCCATTCAAATGGGCCAATCGATTATGGAAATCATGGTTGATAATTCATTTTAAATAGAAACACTTCTTTCTTTGTCATTATATTCTCTTGTAATTAGAAAGAGAAAACAATAAAATTTGCTTGTTTGGATGACCAAAAGTTTTCTTTTTTTTCTAAAAATTCGCTGTCGTTTATGATATTTGGGGGCTAATTAGAATCTGTTTACAAAATATTTTGAGGAGGTTGTTGAAGTTTTGATTAAAAATGAAAGAGAGAGAGAGAGAAGAGTCAGCTACTAAGTAGAAGAAGCAGAATATGAAGAAAAAAAAAGAAAAATTGCTTGCTAGAGAGAGAGAGAGAGAGAGAAAGAGAGAGAGAACTGAATAGAGGACTTGTAAGCTTAGCTGTTTTTTCCATAAATTATAAGGAATTAGGCATAAAATCATTTAAAAAGTGGATCAAAGCTTAACAAGAAGCACTGAATATTCATGGAATTTATCGATAAACATGACAAACTTAATGATTTGTGATAAAATGAAGATAAAAATGTTTTGAGTTGATAAGAAAAGTGTTTGTTTTTTTATATTTTCTTTCCAATCATCAATAATATCGGTTTTTTCTTTTATTTTATGATTTAACAAGCAATATTTCCCATCGTTTTCATATTTTTTTGTTCGAAGCTTTCAAGTCTGTTTGTGTTATTCATCGTTTGGAAATGGATCGAAGTGCTGCTAATAGTACAACTAACTTAACTATGCGTAATAATTTGTCAATCTGTGACATAACGCTCAAGACGTTCAAGGTTTATTCAAACTAATGGATGAATTTGATCATCACAGTTTTAAGGAATTCTTTTCACTTCTTCTGCTTGTCGAAGTTGGAATATCGCTTGTCGTATCCACGAGGTTATCACAAGGTTTCCTCTTTGCAATTCATAGCTTCATTCAATTATTATTTTCAAGAATTGACAAAGTCCGTCTTTCTCTTTCTTTTGGTAGTTTACTTCCTCTCAGTAGTATTCGCTTTGTATGGCTTGTTCACACATCAGACAATCGCATTCATCCCGATCAGGGCTATATGGGTAATCAGTCTCATTATCTTTAATCTTATCCATTATCTTTAAGTTTCTAACAACTATCATCTCATGTTTCATATTTGGACATACAGCTTTTACTCAGCTACAGTGTCATTTCACAGGTATTAAGCAATGACACTTCTATTCATCTTATAAACCTTTCAGAGCATCCAACAACCAGACGTCGTTGTGAACTATCTAAGAATAATCGTTATTGGGTAACATTAAGCTAAATTTTTAAAAGAAAAATTCATTTCAAAGGATTATCTAATCACTTTACTGATTTGTGGATTGAAATTCTCACAAATATTCGTATCAAAGCATATGATTCACCTTATGAAACAATTGAATGAGTGAGTTTTCTATTGAACGTTCGAGTTTCTTGATTGAATTAAGGCCAAACATGGAAGATATTCATCCATCCCCGGATACAGATGATGAAGATGTTTGTTATTACATTCCAACCAGTACAAATAGTTTATTCAGATGATTGTCTTTGAGAGGAAAATTAGTCCAAACGGGCCGAAGGGCAAAGAGACCAACAATCCTATCGCTTAGATAACATAATTATTAAATAAATATTTTTTGATCAAACGTCATTATTGATTGATTTAAGAGGGAAAAAACAACATTTTCTAAGAAATTTTACTTTTATTAGGAAATCGTGGATGATTTTAGAAAAATAAGGTCATTCTTTCCTCGTCAATGACCTGGATTAGAGGGAGAAACGAACAGATTTTGGTCTTTGTCAGTCGTGTTCAAATCTTTTTTTTGTTTTACCTGTGAAAAAATCGATAATTTTTATAAAATCTTCCGTTTTTCAACATTCTGAAGAAGTTTTGGCAGAATTTTGTAAAGTTTATAACATTGTCAATCATGTTTTAGCCTCATTCTTCCCATAAATGGCCAACAGCAACAATAATAACTCTTCACTGCGTAAGTTCTCTTCCCTTTTATCATCTTAAAAGGTTTTTTTTAGTTGTTTTGGTGACTGGGGCAAGTGGATATATTGGTTCTCAATGTGTTAAGCAACTACTTGAACAAGGGTTTCGAGTCCGAGGAACTGTTCGTAGTCTGAAGAATCCTAAGAAGGTTTCCGTGCACGTTCGTATCAACACAACCATGTTATCATTAAAGGTCGATCCAATCAAGTGTTTGGACAAAAAAGGAAACTTGGAACTTGTTGAAGCTGATCTATTGAATGCGGAATGTTGGGATAGGTGAGAGAACATTTTTCTATCTCTGAAAAAGTGATAGTTAGGGTTTTGGACGGATGTGATTATGTTCTTCACGTGGCTTCTCCTTTCCCTATTGTTGCCGATGAAAAATGTATTGAAACTGCAATCTTAGGTATTGTAAGAATAAATACTGAGATGAGAAGTACTTTCAGGAACATTGAATGTTTTGAAAGCAGCTGGACAATGTGATTCTGTCAAAAAGGTAGTTCTTACTAGCAGCTGTGCAGCTGTAAACGGTAAAAGCTTTTAAATTATTCAAATTTTGAATGGAACTATTCAGAAGGTCATGATGACCCTGCAAAGATGTATGATGAGACAACTTGGACTAACGTCAATAGCAAACAAGTTGATAATTATGCAAAAAGTAAAACTTTGGCTGAGAAAGCTGCGTGGGACTTCATGAAAGAAGATAAGCATACCAACAAGTACGTTTGATATTCGTTTATTCATTTGATTAGCCTTTTTGAAGGTTCAAATTAACTGCAATTAATCCAACATTTGTGGTCGGACCAATGCTAATTGATGAACAAGGAGCCAGTATAACTGTCTGTACTCTTTGAACTTCATAATGTATATCTTCTATTACTTGTAAAGGTTATGAGACGTTTCCTTAATATGGAAATGCCTGGATTCCCACAATTGAATTTGGCATGCGTTGATGTCCGAGATGTTGCTTCCGCTCACATTAAGGCTATGACTGAGTCTGCAACTGATGGAGAAAGAATTCTTGTTTGTTTCCGATGTTGCACAGGGAAAAATTTATTTTGAAGGTGACAAGTCAACCATCTCTCTGGTTCCGTGACTTTGCTCGTGTTTTGGGGTCTGAATTCAGAGAACAAGGTGATAAGCGAATGTTTGCATAAACTCAATCAAATGTTCAGGCTATTGGATTCCAAGCATTCAAGTTCCTTATTATGTTCTCTGGATCTACTCATTCCTCGATTCGCAAGCTGCTGCCTGTTTACACAGAGTCGGTCATACCATTCGTTTTGATAACTCTAAGGTTTCAGAAAGATTTCTTTATCTCACTGAACTTATGAATTCTAGGCTCAAAATTTACTAGGAATAACATTCCGCGATCCCAAAGAATCTATCCTATCCATGGCATATTCGATGATTGAACGAGGACACATAAAGAAAGCCCGAAACTACACAGGTGTTCCTGACAAATACAAAGATATATAAACATCGAGTCATTTCCCATATTTTTATCATCAATGTTTGTGTTTTTTCTCAAATTTTTAATAAAACCATATGATCATGATGAATTGATGTGGTGTTTCATTGAACCGAATTGTCAATGTTCGAATTACCATATTGATATTGAAGCGCTCATATCAAAAACCATGGCGATTACAATAAGAATGATAGGGCTTTCATGAATTCGTTAAAACTTATTATTTTCGCCTACGTGGAGTGTTCACGTGAACTACACGTGAATGATGCGTAAGCATTCATTGATTGGAAAGTTTACAATGAAACTGGTCGTTCGTTTGATTTTTAATAAAATCGTTGAAGAATAGGCGAAAGGTAAATTCCAAAGGAGAAAAAGGTTTCAGTGAAGCGATGACTTCTTCAGAATCAAATGATCAAACTGTAAAGAATTGCAACTGAAAAAGCTGATTTTCAAAAAATGACCATATGAAGAATAAGGTATTGACCGTTGACATGCATATCATCAGTTGGATATCTATACAACCTGATCGTTTGATTGTTTGATCCGAATTAGATTGAGAAGAGATTATATCATATAGTTTCTTATATATTATCATTTGGACACATCGATTGTGTTTTTGTGTACTTTGGAATACTAGTTTTTATTAGAAATATTTTCATCAAATATTTCAGTTTTGTCTTTCATTTCTGATTGTTTAAGATGCCTGGATGTCTCATTATTGGTAATGGCGGTCGGGAACATGCTTTAGCTTGGAAAGTTGCTCAATCCAAGCTTGTTGATCAAGTTTTCATTTCTCCTGGAAATGGATGTGCATTTCCTGATGCAGGTACGTTTTTATTGGTTTTTTGAGAACACGAACTGTGTTGCAGATATTGATCCTAATGCATCTGGGGATATTGTGTATTTCTGTAATCAGAATGATATTGGTTTGGTCATTGTCGGCCCAGAAGCTCAGTTGTCTCGAGGAATCGTGAATGAAGTTCAAAGTTCCGTCGCTATCTTTGGGCCAACAAAGGCAGGAGCTATGTTGGAGGTACGTTTCAAATGGAGAATCAAGTTTTCACAAAGTTCACTTGCTCTTCAATTCAAAACAATATTTTAGACTTCAAAGGTTTTTGCAAAAAACTTTATGAGACAATATGATTTGCCTACTGCGAGATTCAATGAATTCTCGACGATTTCTGAAGTGCAACACTTCATTTCAAACTGTAATTGGAATGGGGTTGTTGTTAAAGCTGATGGACTTGCAGCTGGTAAAGGAGTTATTGTAGCAGAGAACAAAGAAGAAGCTTTCAAAGCTGCTAGCAGAATGTTAAATGTAAATCAAATGGAGTACTTTGAATTCAAATAACTCTTTGAGGGGGAGTTTGGTGATAGCGGGAAGCATATTGTGTTGGAAGAACAGTTATCAGGATATGAAGTTTCAGTAAGTCTGTCCTGTGGATGAATGAATTAATAAAAAGGTTTAGGCTCTTTGTTTTGTTGATGGAAAGAATTTTCAAAGAATGCCCTTAGTGAAAGATCATAAAAGACTTCTTGATGACGATAAAGGCCCCAATACAGGTACTTCATTAAGGATTCATGGCTGCTACTTCCTGTTTAGGTGGAATGGGAGTCATTGGTCCCATTGCAGTTCCCAGCCATGTGGAAAATGAAATAAATATGATAATCAGAAAAACAATTGATGGATTATTGGATCAAGGCATTGTCTATAAAGGTTAATGATAATATTGTAGAAGTTGTATAAAGAAGAATCATGTTCAGGAGTTCTATATGTGGGTTTAATGATTACAACTAATGGACCAAAAATCCTTGAATACAATTGCCGTTTCGGTGATCCAGAAACTCAGGTTATCTATAAAGTTATTTTCCACATGTTGTTTGATCTTTCTGCAGATATTGATGAGATTACTGAAATCGGATTTATACAACATTTGTTTGAATTGTATAAACGGATGTTTACAACCTATAGAATGGAACGACAGATTTGCATGTGGGATTGTGTTGTCATCTCAGAATTATCCTTATTCCGGTGATAAAGGAACAGAAATATCAAGTATATATCAATATGTTTTTTCTTAATTGTTTTTTTTAAATTAAGATATTCCCAAATCAAGTGACGATGTTGTAACATTTCATGCTGGAACTGCTAGGATACATGATAAATGTAAGTTTTAATGAAGTTTTTATTATTTCGTTACCTATTACAAAACTTGTTTACAACCTTAATGAGAATTTTCATTTGATTTATTGTAATGACCTTGTTTTATTTTCATTTTTTAGTAGTAACAAATGGTGGGCGCATCTTGTGTGTTACATCACTAGGGTTACTACCAGCTTCTGCTCGAACTTCCGCATTAGCGGTATGCGAGAAAATTCAGTTTTCTGGAAAATTTTTCAGAAAAGACATTGGCAGCAAGTACGAAGAACCTCGGTATTTATCATTCACAAACTATTCTATTTCAAATATAATTTTCAGTATTTATGATTCTATCTCATACAGTGACTCAGGTGTTGACATCAATGAGGGAAATCAGTTTGTGGAGAATATCAAGTTGTACATACAAAGAACTATGAAACCTGGAATGAACCAGGTAAGAGAGAATTTCACTTCTACTACTACTTTCTCGAAAAAATTTCAAAATTCAATATTTATACTGTCAGATTGGAGGTTTCGGAGCTGTAGTAGACCTGCCAAAGTGTGGCTTTTCTGGAGATATTCAACTGGTTCTCGGGATTGATGGAGTTGGAACTAAAATAGAAGTAGAGAGAATCATTATTCTTTCAATAATCAAATGTTTCAAGATAGCTGACCAGGTGAACAACTACCGGTATATTGGATATGATGTCGTTGGCATGTGTGTGAACGACGTTTTATGTCATGGAGCAGTTCCACTGGCTTTCTTAGACTATTACGTTTGTGGACACTTGAGAAGAGAACAGGCTCAGGCTATTGTTCAGTCGATATCTGAGGCTTGCATTGAAGCTGGATGCACTCTTGTAGGTGAGTGTCAAGTATATTCTGCTTCCATTTAGGATGACTGTATGAGAGCACAATTCGCTCAGAGCGTTTGCATTCAATTTACGAACAGAACGGTTGCATAAAAGCTGAACCAAAACTATTCTATAACCTTCCTGTGATGAATGCATTCACGTTTTTTCGAATTATGTGAAGCACTATCTTAGGTTTTGATGTTCAGGTGGAGAAACAGCGGAAATGCCTGGTGTGTACGGAAATAAGCAATGGGATCTTGCTGGTTGTGCGGTAGCTGTTCGTCAATCCAATTGGCCTTTGTTACCTTTATCAAATAGGTATGTGATGATTTTTCTATTGTTCTTCAATTTAAATGCAATTAAGTATTGAACCCGGTGATATGGTGATAGGATTAACTTCAAACGGACTACACTCTAATGGATTTTCTTTAGTACGAAAAGTATTTTCATCCAACAGAATAGATTTTTCAACTGTGACGCCATGGTCGAATAAAACATTTGGTAGAAGTTACATTTTATTCTTATTTTTTCATGAATACTTAAAGGAGAAGAATTACTGTCGCCAACAAAGATTTATGTTCGCCAACTGATTGGATTACTCAAGGAAGGAAAGATCAAAGGATGCGCCCACATAACTGGTGGAGGTATAATTGAAAATTCTGTTCGAGTCCTAAATAGTAATGGACAGGTGGCATTAGAGGTGAGATAAAACATATTTCAATTGATGCTTGTTTATAACAGGTTGATGCTAGTTCATGGGATAAGCCGGCTATATTTCACTGGTTAGCTAGCATGGGTCCAATAGAAAATGAAGAAATGTTGAAAACATTCAATTGGTTTGATTATAGGGATGTTGACGGACGTAATCATCTGTTTCAGTGGGATTGGAATGATACTAATAGTATCACCATGCGAAACGAAAAATGTGCTGTCTATGCTCGAAGCTAGCCATGAGCAACCCAAAATTATTGGCAAAGTCATACCAAAAAGAGATAGTTGAGTTTATTATAACATATCATCAGATAATTATAATAATCAAGATGATTTGATCAAAGTTACAAATCTGGCTAACTCATTCACAAGGATATCTGTTGAGAAAAGGAAACAGATACGTGTAGCCATACTAATATCTGGAAATGGCACAAATATGATGAAATTAATTGAAAATTCTCAGAAGCCTACCAGTCGAACTGAGGTATAAAAATAAAGAAAAAATAAATGAAGTCTTTGAATAATTAAGGTCGTATTGGTTATATCTAACAAAGCAGATGCTAAAGGACTGACTAAAGCTCAACAAAAAGGAATTCGAACTATTGTTATCCCGCATACAAAAATTCGCGAAGAAGGCGATCTTAAGTTATCGGAGGTTGCTATCGTTTCAGAAAGTATTAGTTATCAAATAATTTAAGGCTTTGCAAATGGCTTCCGTTGAACTCATTTGTTTAGCAGGTTACATGAGATTGTTATCAGCCGACTTTGTTCAAAAATGGAGAAACAGGATAATCAACATTCATCCGTCTTTATTACCATCTTTCAAAGGTTTTCGAGGGATATATAATTTATATGGAGATAATCATTTAGGTGCTCGTGCGGTCAATGATGCTTTATCTTTTGGTTGTAAGATAACTGGATGTACAGTTCATTACGTTGATGTGAGGGAATGCATACTAACTAATCTGAATAATGATTTTTGTAGGAAGAACTGGATCATGGCCCGATAGTCATGCAATCACCAGTTGAAGTGGCTGAAAACGAAACTGTAGATAGCTTGCATGAAAAAATACAAGAAAAGGTACAACTTGATTTTTGAATTTTATTTGAACAAATAATTATCTAGGAACACGAGCTGTTTCCTCTAGCCATGCAGTATGTTGCAGAGAAGCTTCTGTTGTAAGAAGAGTATTGTCATTCGCAAAAGATCTGTGAAATAAAGCTTTATTAATGATATATATATTGATTATTTAGTTACAACCGTTGTATCACGGCCCTTCTCGAAGTGATTTTTCAGATTTACAAAATATTCATCATGATGCTGTATTTTATTGACAACATTACGTTTCTTTCTCAGAACGCCATAAGTGAGGATAATTGGTCCAATTATAGAATATAGATGAACCTAGAATGTACTATAACACTAAATATAATGAAAATGCAATTTACTTGGCCTATACATTCAAGGTAGAAAGCATGATCAATCGGATCAAATTTTGGAAAAATCTGTTTAATAGAGAGAAAGGATATATGAATTGGAAGCATAAGATGTTACCAGTGGATAGATGGATAGTCCAAATGAGTTTACAGTTAGTAGAAATCCATGTAGTATGCATAAAGGCAGGAGATTCTTGAGTACTTTTCTATTCTCTTTAATCTTAACATTGAAATAAGAAATTGAAAAGATAGTTATGGTACTTGATACTTGTTCGCTAGTACTATCGCATGCGTTTTCATAAAGAGTTTATGCTGCTGATTGTTACGTATCAACGATACCATGAATATCACAACAGCTGAGACTTCGATGATTACCTCAGCAATCGTCATTAACTGAATATGCCTTTCGCTTTAGTTACAATAGCTTAGTATGATTACCTGAAACCTATTAGCATTCTCAGGAGTTTTTAAAGTATAAGTCGTAAGGTACGCATCCCACTTGATGTTGAAAAATAGAATGCCATATGTTAAACCAAATGATGCTATTACCTGCAATTAACTATATAATATAATTAGTGTGATCATAGAAGTACAGATATGAAGCAGACGAGAAAAGCTGCATTATTATTGCGAAACCTTTCATAATGAACAGGTCGTATAGTAGATAAAGCTCTTTCAATACAAATGACAAACATTGTTATGATTTCGCCCACCAATCCAACAACAGGTAGTATACGTGTATTCATTGAGAATGATGTTGATATGAGATAATCACATGGATCGTCTTTCTTTATGCTAATTCTATGTAGCATAGTTAACTATATAAAAATAATAAACATTACCGTAAATAGTCATACAGATAGACGAATGAGTATGTAAGAGGTAACTCTATGGACCAGAGCATATGAATAGCAAAATATATTTGAGTATGTTTATGTCCTAACCATCCTAATCCCTTGAAAGAAGAATTCATTTCAATAATATTTTCATGGCAATCCATTCTAACACCTTGAATCTCCAAAATGCGATTGGAACTATGGCGGCAATCCAAGCTGTCACAATTTTAAATAATAAAAGATAATGCTGAGCTTTATTAGTTGCCTGGTGCGAAGCACTTAAGCAATCCATAACATTCATCTCTGAAATTCTAATTGTCTTACAAAAAAACAAATGGAACAATCAAAATTGATCATTGACCAAATAAAGATATTTGAGATGTATCTGATAGACTCAAAACAAGAAAATAAATGTATAGGAACTTCTTAGAATTAGATCAATCTGTTTCTCCACCCATTCTCTCTCTATCTCTCTCTACCTCTTACCTCTTCCTCTCTCTACCTATTACCTCTTTCTCTCTCTCTCTTTCTCCTTTTCGAGAATATAGAAAGAAGGTATTTATAAAATAATTTGTTATTAGCTGAAGAGGATGAATTAATTAGATCAAACAATCTTTACTTTTTTTCTTCAAACACATATGATATTTCAAACATGAGATGAGTGTTATCGAGAATAGTAGATAGGGAAAACCATTAAATTACAAAGGAAAAGAGTTTTTGAGATGGGAATTAAAAGGTTTTTTATGATATTATTGACCCTCCTTACTCCTTCAAAGCTCTCTTTGACTGAATAGGTTTTTATGTTGATCCGATTGTAAAATAACATTTTCAAAAAATTCTTTATAAGGAAACAACTATATTGGATCGAATCTAATCATCCAGTTCTTTTAAGAACTAAAGGTTTCGGATGACTAAGTAGCCACTTGGTGCACTTCCTGTATTGACCGATTAAATACTGTAAGATAATCCTTTTACGGAAGACGTCAAGCTCCTTAAATAGTCTCGAAACTTTTAGTTTTGTGATAGCATCATGTTAACAGCCATACTTATCTTATTTTGTCTGTTCAACAAGGCATTGTCAATCACGAACGCTAAAACTCAGCTACAAGAAGTAAATTATTCGTTTTTTTTCGTTCTCTTTAATATTCATATGTTTTCAAGATTTTACGAGTTAATTTGGATGCCAGAGCGGCAAAGTATCGCGAAATCACCGTCAAATACCAGAACAGTCTCAAAGACAGAGCTTCGGATGCAGAGAACTTGAAAATGGTTTTCAGTCTCTGCTCTCTTATATTTAAAACGGTTTGTTACAGCTTATTCCAAAAACGAAACCAGGATCATTGAAATCGGATGAACTCTTTCACATCAATGATAAGGCTGGCTTAACTCCATATCTATGGGAAGGAGACATTCATTTAACCGAGTATAACCACAAATCAAAATAAAACTATTAAAAAGAAAATTTGCAGTGCTCAACTGCAACAGTTTGAACAGTCTGTTCAGCTTGCTCCATGGCGCAAAAGGAGACAAGTGACTTCCATTTATAGCAAATGGACTAATGGAAATGTTTATTATTCGTTAGATTCAGGAATCGGTAAGCTATTTTCTCTAGAGAACTCATCAGAAAAACAAAAACAACTCAAAAATGAAAAAATGAGCTCGATACTTGAATTCAAAGAGTTTTTAAGATTCGCGGAAACGAATATCTATTGGTCAAGCGTTGGCATACATAAGTGATCGCACTTGTTTAAACTTTATCCAGAGTAATACAGCCACTAACAGAATCCAAGTAAGAAATATAATATAAAGAACTGTCAGCTCATTAACATATCATATTCTTTCAAGGTAGTTAATGGAGGTGGCTGTTATTCCAGTGTTGGTATGTTAGGTGGTGTTCAAACGCTCTCAATTGGAGATGGCTGTGAAGTTGTGAGTAATTTAATTTTAATACTATACCTTTAAAAGTCGATGAAACAGAGACGAATTAAAAGAAATAGAAAGGCGAGTGACAAAAAATAGAAATGAGAACAAAAAATGAAGAAGAGAGAGAGAGAGAGAGAGAGAGAGAGAGAGAGCGAGAGTAAGAGGTTTGGAGAAAAAAATACGTAGTAGTGATTAGAAGAGAGCGAAAAAAAGAGAAAGGGAAAAAAGTAAAAAAAAGGTAGAATTGGGAGAAAGGAGGAGGGGCATTAGAACTATTAAGAACACAGCCGATTTATGTATTCGTAGATATGAAATGATAATTCTCCTATTGAACTAGGAAATATCACATGATATGCTAATTATGCAAATTAACCAGATTGGAACGGTTGCTCATGAATTTACTCATGCATTGGGTGTATGGCATATGCAATCAAGAGATGACAGAGATGAATACATAGCCTTAGATTTATCAACTGTGCCGGTAAAAACAAAACATCAATCAATACGCATCTAATACATGTACATAGGTTGGCACACGTTATAATTTCGCCAAACTATCATCAAGTGAAGTAATAAATTATACGCCATATGAATATGGAAGTTTCATGCATTATGGAGCAAATGCGTAAGTAAATTGAGATTAAAGAATATAAAATTAAAAATGTTTGATGAAGATTCTCAAGTGATTTCGTCTCAACATCAATCATTCCTCTTGATTTGGATTATGCATACACCATGGGGAATCGGTTAATATCATTTTATGATATTTCGCTCTTGAACCAACATTATAATTGCTTCTGTAAGTTTATTTTGCTTTGGAAATATCAAACGTGTGTAATGCTCTGTGTTGCAGCACAATGCTCGAATCGAATTTCGTGTGCGAATGGGGGAGAACAGAATCCTGCCGACTGTTCCAAATGCAACTGTCCTTTAGGATATGGTGGAGACTTATGTAATATTCGAGTATCACAAATATTAGTTAGAACGAATATTATATTATCATGCTTCGTAGACTGAAGATGGCGGAAGTACCTTGACAGCAACGCGCGATTGGCAGAACCTTACAATCTCCATGGGAGTATCTGATGGAAACATTCGAGATATTTTCACAACAATTACCTACTGGGTTGAAGTGAGCTATCATTATTTTATTAGTTTTTAATCTTTGCGTTCTCCTTTTAGGCACCAGCTGGTCAACAAATACAGCTTATGATTACGAATATGGTAAACTCTCAATGTAATTTCGGGTGTGCTTTCAACGGTATCGAACTCAAAGTACGATCCGATCAGAACATTGTTAACCCAAGGTTCTCTGTTGCTTTTTATTTCATTCATTTCTGGTTTTTTAACTTCTAGGTTTTGTTGTCCCGAGTTCCAAAATATTGGCCATCTGAGTGACGTCAACCCTACACCTGTTATCGCTTTCAACCGATTTGATAAATCAGATTTCTCTATTGCGTATCGATATGGTAATTTGATTTATTGTTTAGCACACTTAATTTTGCTGTTAAGTTAATTTCGGAGAAATTACAACAACCACGACCCCGTCGGGACCTACTCCACCTACAAGAAGCACTTCCTCTACATCATCCACAACAACTACACGAACCACAACAACCACAACAACCACAACTCCTCGAACAACCACAACAACAAAAAGTACGACCACTCTTCAACCTACCCAACCTGTAACGACGGAATCAAACACCAGTCCAACACCCCCGACGCGTCGTACGCGTCCTACAAGACGTCCAATACCAACCCATCCGGCCACTCGCCCACCTCGTGTTACTCGTCCAACAGTCCCTCCAACTCAACCAACTTTCTCTAGCAGAACAGTTACTATAGCACCAACAAGAGCAACTCGTCCAACATTAGCAACGACCACAACTGCACCGTCTGGTCTGGCAACTGATGTAACGTGCAGAGATTTTATATCAGCGTAAGTTAATTTTGGCCGACTTCAAGCAATTATAAAAATTATTTCAGAAAGCATTGTCATTCATTAATGAAATCTGATTTTTGCTCTTCACGCACTTACCCCTCTGCTTTAATTAAGTTCAATTGTCCAATTTCGTGTGGCTTATGTGGAAGAGCTTTACCTGATTGTTCAGACACGTATACTGGGTAATAACTATACATTTATGAATTCTGATAATCTCAAATGCAGATGTGAAGATTTGAAACGACAGGGATATTGCAACTTCCACGACAAGATGCTGGTTGAATATTATTGTGCAAGGACATGTGGCTTCTGTGAGAGACCTAATTGATAGGAGCAATCCAACAAATCGATATTTTCGTTTTTATTTGCATGTTAGAGAAAAAAAAACAAAAACATCTTCAATTTCGTTTATTTCGTTCTGAATTAGCATATCTGTGATGATGCTCACGTGACGTGATGACACCTGTTTATCTCATTTTGAATTTATTCAAAAGCATAGAATGGTTGGCTTCACTTTCTCTTTCATATTACTTGTTAATCATTAAATTTTTATTTTTTATTTTTCAATCACCCGCTTAGATTATGACAAAGCAAACTTCATATGAAATACTCAAAAGATCCAGCTTTTCAAAGATTTCAATAATAAGCTTTGTTCGATCCCGGTTCGAAATATTTGATAGAAAGAGGTAATGATCTATAGAGTGAAAGAGAGAAGAGGAGGGGGAGGGGGGAGAAGAAAGAGAAGAGGGCGGTATGAAACAACCAAAACAGACAGTTGAAAGAGAGAAAGGGGCTGGATGATGAAGGGAATCTTGTTCCTTTCAAATTATTTCCATAAGTGGTAAGAAAAGGATAAAGGGGTCATTTCCACCTTCCCTTTCCAAATCACTTTTCTAATCAGTTCTCAATAGAAAAGTCTAATTTTTCATCTCATTTTCGAAACTATCTCCTATCTCCACGTTCGCTTCGGGAGAAAAAAAAGTTTTTGGTCGACTACATCCATCCCCTACTTGCCTAGTTTAAACATTCATTCTCATACAACCTAGATTGGAGTCGTTCAATATTTTCCTTTCTTTCTTCTGACTTTTTCTTGAAACTTTCCATATATTCTTTACTTTCAGTTTCAAATAATAATGAAAGTCATCTTGGCTTCTCTGTTATGCTTGACCATCGCTTCGTGTTACAAGCCATCGAGAAATCCACTCAAAACCAAAAAGTACAAATGCATTGAAGTTGGAGATGATGAAGATGTGCAAATCGTCAAGAAATCTCTCGTACGTGTTATCTTTAATTATCCTTTAATTTGCATATCAATCCAGATGTCTCCATCTCTTGCGCGCGCAGAGGAACAACTCGTGCCTATCTCGACCATCAGGGCTGCTGCATCCCCGTCTCATTTTCCACAACCCATTAGTTCAGGTGAAACGATAGAAGTTCCATTAGCGCACAAGGTATTCATATACAGATAATGATTTACATTTATCTTTTGCAAACAGGTGAAAATCCAGAAACTTCCTTTATCAAAGATGTCCGGATCAGCAACAATGACCAGCCAACCAAGTGAATATCCGTCCAGTGTGCAAAAGGATCGCAATGGACATCCCCTCGTTCTCTCTCCAAAGCATTGTCAGCAGGTTTCTAACTCAATTATATGAAACAGAAACTATAAAAAACCATTTTGAAGGTAAAACACTACGCTGATATGTATGGAGTAAAAGATGTGAAATCGTGGGTGAAACGAAACTGTACTTTCGCCAAAATGTATTTGCCAGGCGCAACTTGTGAAGAGATCGACGTATTGGTAGCTTCATGTTACAAAAACAAATATCTTGTCTAACAATAATAATAATAATAATAATATTAACTATAATAATGATAATAATAATTGTCTCGCTAGATAATTAAAGAATTTTATTAACGATCTCCAAGAGATGATTATATCACAATTTGAGCCAAAAAAAAAGAAATTTTCCCAAATGAGAAAAAAATGAAAATATCGAAAGATAATGGGTAAATGGAAGACAAATCTTCAAAACAAATTTGGCTAATCGTATCTATTTTGAGAGAATTTTCTTCTAAAAAACTAAAAAATAAAGTTTTATGAAAAAAAAAACTTTTTTTCTGATGATGTGTTGTCTATTGATTTCCACCGGATCAGATTAGATGGTCATGAGAAGCACACGTAAAGACACGTGAAAGATTTCTGGAGAGATCTTTAAAGAAAGAGAAAGTTTCAAGAGAATATAAAAGTAAAAATGAGAAAAAGTATTTTTCTTCGAAAAAAAATGAAAAAATGACAAAGGAAGGAGGAGAGAGAGAAAACAAAAGAAAGAGAGAGAGAGAGATAGAGAGAGAGAGATGGAAATAGAGAGAGAATAGATAGAAGGATAAAGTAAGAGAGAAAGAAATAGGAAAGTGTTGGAGCACAAATATGGAATTTGTGACCTGAGAGAAATGATGAATTTAATAAAATCTAAAGAATTCGAAAAAAATAAAATCTGAAATGATGAAAACAGGCGATCAGAAGAAAAGCATTGGGTCACTTGTTGATACTTTATGTGATAAAGGAGCTGGGCTCATGGGGCCCTTCCCAATAGAAATATCGTCTAGATATTGAGCATACTGTAAGATAGATGGATAACTTAGTGATTTCCATTTTAGACACTTACATTATCTTCGATCCAACGCATCAAATGTACATTACAAGGAACATATGGTTGTCTGAGCAAATGTTCTTGAACTTCAAGAAATCGTTTCAAATCTTCCAATGTTATTCGATCTTTACTTGGCCTAATATGGAGAAGAGAAAAGCTGAGAAATAGGGAACAGCAGACTGACCTTGTTTTCTTTAAAGCCGCAATGATACGCATAGCTTCTCGTATGTCGTCACTCATATTGGCAAATCCTCGTCGAGCTCCTCGTATTTTTCTTCCAAAGTAATGTAATTTGGTGAATGTTCTCTGAACACGGGTATATCATTGTAATACATTTGAAACTAACCTTTAATGTTGACGAACACAAATCTAAAGAAGCAGTGATGACAGCCAATCCAATTATCACATAGAATACGATAAGCTGAAATCAAAAATGAATATAGGTTAACTATGCAAAGGGGTTTACAGCTAAATATGCGTGATCCAAGACCAAGATATTTCCCAGAGATATTGTTGTAATGGTATTAAAAGAGAAAAAAATTCCATGAATAAATGACCTGAATGTTTACAATTCTCAAACAGTAGCGGAAGTCTTCATTACCAGATAGGTCCTTTTTCGAATGAGTTGAATAATAAACTTCCAATACAACAATAGCCGACGATTAGTGCAAAGTACGATGCGATCGGCAATTGTAAGCGATCTTCATCATCTTCTGAGTTTTCATCTTCAGAATCTTCGCGAGGTTTTCGTCGTTTTTTCAATTCTCTAGAAAGGCAACGATATTAGTATATAAAAGAACAATAAAGAGTTACAATGAATCGATGGAATCAACATCGCCATCGAACAAATGAGTTCGAATACTTTCAACAAAAGATGCAATTAATGTCCATAATTGTAATAATTTAGCATATGATCTGTAACATTCAACTTCAAAGCTGCTAATTGGTTCATATAAAAGCATACCTTATCACAATCTCTGAAAGAAACTTTCCAATATCAGCAGCTGTTATAAACATTAATGGAATTCCAATAAGGCCAAAGAATACAGTAAAAATGCGACCAGGATCAGTTGTTGGAGTCACATGGTCGTAACCTGCAAATGTATTTCTTAACGTTGAGAGCCGTTGGAAAACGACTGACCCGTTGAAGTAACAACTGTAAGAGCGTAGAGGACAGAAGCAGCAAAAGACCATCTGAAAATGATAATTCATAGAGCGATAGTGAGGGGGAGAGAGGGAGAGATATGGACGGCATGAAATTACTTTGTTTTCAATTGTTTCGGATCATCTTTCCACATTTGGAGTTTTTCTGTGAACTTATCGTCGTATTCATGAGTGTTTGATAACCGATTAAGTAATGGTATTAACCTTCTGCTAATCTGAAACAGAATTAGTTAAATGGAGATAATTCAAAGAAAGCGCAAACCTCGCTTTTATTAAATTTTCTTTGTCCAGAACATATCACAGCTGATTCATTAATGATTTTATTATACATATCATGAACTGTTGAAAGCTTCTTCTGTAGGGAAGACTTTCTTTTTGAATGGAAACGAAGTTCATTTGTACCTGACGTGATTGAAGCTCATGATCAGCTTCCAGCCACATAAATATTAAAGCTCCGATTGTTATATAAGTAAGTAAGAGAACATTCAAACCAACGTGTGGTAAAAGTATTTTCAGCCACTGTAGATGGATGGTTTCATAATGATAAAGCTCAAAATAATCTTACTTTTACTATTTTTTTCCAAAATGGAACATGTGGAACGTTTGGCTCTTCGACTATGTCGTCGCTGAGACCGCCGGCAACACCATCTCTTCGATATTCATCCCATTTCACTCTTCCAATATTATCTGAATTATGTAACTTATTAAATGACGTTGAGATTTTTAATTTGTTTAGGAGTTTATCTCTGACCTCGTACTTCTTTTGGTAAATACTCATCTGGAAGGGAGGAGAGGAAGGCTAAGTCACTAAGAGGTAAACGGAGAGTTGGTTTTTGGACTGCTTGGAAAAAATTTCCAACACCTAATGTTCCCATTATTTAGAAAGAAATAAAAAATGACTGAATGAGTAGTAATGGAGAAGAGGAAGAGATGGAGAAGGCCAGTTGAAACTGATGGTTTTCATGAAAGGCGAGAAATAGGACTCTGCGACATCTTTTTTAGATGGAAAAGAGCTTCAGATGGTTGAGAGGACAGGAGAAGGACGTGGTCGTAGTGGCCATTGGAAGAAATATGATCTTTTCATTTTCTCTTTATAGTTTCTTCTTCCTCATCTCTTTTTCAGATTGGAGTAGTAGTGGCAGGATGGGGAACCATGAAACAGAGAGAGAAAGAGAGAGAGAAAAAGAGAGAGGGAGAGAGAGAAGTCTTTGAAAGGAGAAAAGAGTGAACAAGAAGGTTTTTCGAAGATTACGTATTGGAAGTATGTTACTCTTTCTCATGCAGCAAGTGTGTGATTAAAATGAAATAGATGAATGTCATCATTTATTCTTTCAAATGAAATATCCATTTTCAATACCTTTTTTGGAACCAACAAAAAATATCTGAAAGGGAAAATGTTTGTTCAGCGAAAGGATTTCATTTCATGAAAAGAGAGAATGTCGAACAGCAAAAATGAGAAAATTATCAAAAAATGGATAATGATAAGTCTTTTGGTTCTTTTGATGATCTTTCAATCAAATGAAGTGACAGCATTCACCAGTTGTTGCTCCTTTCACGCCTTCCTTTCTTCCCATTATTACTAAAAAAATCATTCAATAAATAGCTGAAAACAACACAAACGTCTTTTGATATAAAAAACTTTTTTCTTAATTTTTTTCTTATTTTGAAAATTATTTGGGAAAACAGAACAAAAGGTAGAAAAGCATGTGTGTGTTCCTTCTCATACAGCTGCTGGACTAAAGTCTGGTCATCGATAACAACAAATTCACTCGTAATTTCATGAACTTTTGAGTTTTCCGTTGTCATCATTTGTTTATGGATCGCAAGAACCTTACCTACATCTGAGACGGCCGTGTTTTTACGTGATAATCTTGACGAATGAATTGATGGTGGGCGACTGGGGGCTCGACTCGGAGGTCGACTAGGTGGCCGGCGATAATAATAACTTAAGGGGTATACAGGAAGTTCTGTTTGAGAACTGATAGACGGACGATAGAAGTCGGGATAAGTGTTTGTAGCAACACTTGAACTTTTCCGCCGACCACTCGGTCCTGCTGACTGACCATAGAGGTTATGTAAAGTTAATCGACGAAAGGAGTAGGCAGCAGCTGTGGATCCCATTTTCAGAAGACCACTCGGCTAAGCCTTAGGTACTTCCGTTTTGGAAGGATCTCAACTGCGTGTTTGGTCCAATTTGTTTCAAATTTTACGAAATTGAAAAATATTAGAACTAGTGTAGAATATGAAATCTACTGTTTAAAGAATAAATTAGTAAGAATAAATAAAAATGGATGTAAACAGGCAATTCTTCATACGCTGAGCAAAAAGTCGGCTCAAGGCTTTGCCGGATAACAGACAGGCAAAAGGCAGAGCGGCCAGGTGTGTGTTACTCTTGGGAGATGAAGCCTAGTCGCAGAACCTCTGTGAGCAGTAGCTATGAAGAGAGAAGAGAGAAGAGTAGGAGGAAAAGATGAAGATAGGTGATGATGATGATGATGCTAATACGCTTATCAATCCCATACAATCTCAGAAGAAATGTAATAACTGGTTTATTGTTAAAAATGAGCATTGGCACAGCAAGGACATTGATGTGTCAAATAGGCATTAAAGGCTTTGTTTATGATAAACTATCATCTTTCATTTGCTACAAGCTGAGAAATTTGTGAATTTCGTCAACAACTAGTAGGAACTCATGTTTTCTCCTTCATAAAGCACAGCTGGCTTTTCCTTGTTTCTCTCTTGCACTCAATATTTAATTGAATACGAAGATTCACAAAATCTACTCGAAACGATATGTTGATGATCACTCTAAGAAAATTATAAAAAAACTTTTTTTCTCTCGAATCACTGAATCTACTGCTAATTTCTTTTTTATTTTCCTCCATTTTACAACGATTGTCAGATAAGCAATGTCATTAATTGGACTAAAAAAAGAAATGAACGAACACTCAGAAGTTTGTCAAAGAGATCAAATATCTCTTAAGAACACCTTTAACACTTAAAAATAAATGAGAGATTAATGATTATCATGTATATCGGAGAGATATAATTGCTCAATTCACCTTTTTTCCTCATTTTAAATTTTGTGTTGAAAGAAGATAGAAAAGTGATGATGATGATGTAAACGAGAAGATCAAATTTGCAACTTCACACCTCATTAGAAAGCGCTGCATTACCTTTTGACTATGAGAGAAACAGAGATATAAGATGCTAAGTCATTAAATTTCAATGAATTGACACCTTTTTCCAGTGACTAATTTGATACGAAACCTGCATACAACCGCTTCATGCCTCAGCTTCAGATTCGAATGAATTAGCTTATCGAGTGACTCACGTAATCTATTGATACTCATCATGCTTATAACTGCGAAATTTTAAAAATGCCTCACAATAGTTAATTTATATGACTTTTTCTCAATTTTTGAAAGAAAACAATTGTTGGTCATTAGCATCACGTAGAAGTTGTTTTCTTTTCAGAAAATTTCCAAAAAAACTTTTCCTGCATATGCTTTTATTAGTAATTTCGCATCTCTTAACTTGAGTGCTTCATGTCATTTTGAACAAAAAAATTTTGCTATTTGAATATTGGATGAAGCCTTGTCTCCGACAGAAACGTGATGATGATGTTCATCAACATCTCAATTCTATACGGGTTGTGCCTTCAGGGAATATTTATGAAAAAAAACCTTGTATAAGCTATCATCATTCTTCAAAATATCAAATACTTGAAAGTTATACAACATCTAACGTGTTTTGGTGAACATTAATTGGATGAGAACTAAGTAGAAGCTCCGAGTTTACTCCTAAACTTACCACTCTTACTTTGGTAATTGGCAAACAGGGGTAGTAGAGCGACGTTTGCTGGCGCAGGAACAACCGGCAAAGTCTGTCGGGTCTGTTTAGCCCACTCAGCAAACATAAGGGAACAGTAACATTATGAATTCTTAAAAAAAAGTAATAGAAAGAACGATTGTAACAATCCAGAGAAAGGAAAAGAACATGGATGGTTTAGAAAATAAACAAGACATTACGAAAGGATTCAATGGAATGTTTAGAATTATAAGGCTTTTTTCCAAGCTTTTCGTCTTTGAACTAATTTCTATAAATTATTATACGAAAAATGTAGAGAAAACGAAGAGAAAGGAGAGAGAGAGAGAGAGAGAGAGAGGGGGGGGAGATAAAGAAACTCAAAAGAAGTTTGAAGAATTTGGAAATGTTTTTTTTTACTATCTGAAACCAAACAATGTCAGTTTCAATGAAAAGCTTCTTGAACTGAAGTCTCTGTTGTTGGTTTGTTCTCTCAATTATTCATGCCACCAATTCTTTAATGGTCTTTCTCATTTCGATTTGTATTTACAAATTCTCGATCAGTTAGTCTTCGAAAAAATAAAAGAATCGACTAAGATGTTTGAAGGTAACAGAGAATGGAGAGAGAATGAAAGAAAAGAAAGAGAAGACCAAAATTAGAAGATATCGTAAAATGAAAATGAGAAAGAGCATGGAAGGCAATTCAGCTTGGAAAGTCATTAGACATAAGGATTAACACAAGTCTCTTACGAATTGTATTTTGTCATACAAGTGAGGTAGTTAAGAGAAGAATCTGTTATTATTATTATAAAAAAATAATTTAAAATTAAAATAGTTTGCGAGTGAATAGGTAGAAAAGGAATGTTGACGGCAACAGAAGAAGAAACAAAGGATTTCTTTCTAGAAAGTGAAGATGGACGTGTGAAAAGCTTTCTACTCCAATGGACTCAAATTGAATCGTTCTATTGGTTGTGTCTGGTAGTGAAAGAACATTTGCATGTGAAAGAGACTTGCGTTTCTTAAAATTTCACTTTTTTATTCCTACAAAGTGAGAAATGGGAGGAGTGTTGCAGAAATAATGATCAGAAGGATAAGCATGTTGTCCTTCATCTGCTTGTTGCATGTGGATGAACAACACAGAACTTGCTTAATATTGATGAATTTCGTACAGAACTCACTAAAAAAAGAATTCTTTTCGAAACTAATGAACACTAATATGCAGAAGAGTAATTTCAAAAGATTTTCAGCAAATGAAATGGATATCAGAGGAAGTTTAACTGGAAGAAATGAATAAACGAACAAGCACAAGCAGCTGAACACGACATCAGAGTCAAGAAAAACAGAAAATTGTGACATAAATGATAAAATAGGCGGCCGCGTGGGAGACAATCTGACTGGAAATGCTCTTTAAAACACAAAATATTTAAAGAAAAAAAGAAACCTCCAGAAGAATGAAGGCAGAGAGGGTGTAACCTTGTGATGACAAGCTCATTTGACATAACGACTATATTAGTCAGAAATATTTGTTTTCTACATAGTGAAATCTAATAAAGTCTTGCAATATGTATGAAAAACTATACAAACAGTGAATATTGTTAAGCGACAGCATCAAATGTGCTTAATTTCCAAAGTCTCCCACATTTGCTCACTTGGGAGCAATTGTGCTAAGGGACAACAATCATCATAACTTGAATTCAATACCGACCACCTTTTTACAACAATTATCTTAAACTATAATAAGATATCGTTATAATCACAAAACGAATAGAAGGTTTTGAACTTGAGAGAGAAAGATGAAAAAATTTTTTGTCAAAAACTTGTCCAAGATATGGATGAGAGTACATCCATTTGAGGAGCATTTATCGACGACCATCCCTATTATGTCATAAAAATGGCTCTGTTCTTTATATTTCTTCAATTTGAAGAAAATTCGCGATAGTTCCAAACTATACTAGTTCATTACATCATTAGCTATATCATATAATTGCTCTAATATTTCTAATTTTATAGTTGATCACTATCACAAGCACGTCCGGTAGTTTGTTTGTTAGTCTCTGTTATTTCCTAATTTTTAGCTCTAACTCTCTTTGTTTCAGTTGATATTTCAAGAAAAGAAAACGAAGACACCCGTCTTTTCTAGTCACATTAGTGTCCCCTATTGTTGTTGGGTCTCAAGGGTCTAAAGATTTACGCACTTTGCCTTTTTCGGTCCTTCTCCTTCTATCGATGTGAGCAAGCAGAATGAAAGACAACAAGTTGACTTATAAGCTCCGCCTTACAAACAAATAAACAATTTTCGAAAGAAGCATGTCATTTTAATAATTTTGTATTTGAAATCGTTTATTATACTAATGCTAGTTTACTTGCATATCCCTATTCTAGCAAAACAACCGCTCTACGTAAATACATCTTCGAATATGAAAATGAGGATTTTGATTTCTCTTGTGTCACCTCCATTTAGAGTTCAATCAATATTTCAAATAATCATATAATAAAATAAACTAACCGCTTTCTTCCTGACTCTCTTGTCGGCTTCTTTTCTCAGACAGATGCGGATGCATAGAAGGAGTCCTTATTAGGGGATGTATGGAAGGCGTACGGATGAGTTGACCGTACGCCTGGAATGTGGCCGAGGCACCCGTGGAGCCCATTAGACATCTGGAAAAGTAACATAAACAACGTAAATATAACATAGATAATTGGAAATAAAAATAAATGTAAAGAAAAGTTCTATTACGAAGAGGATTTCGTAAAGACAAAGTTTGAAGAGAAAGCGTTCGTGCTTCTTGGAAAACGATATAAAAAGGTGAGAAGATATGTGGGGTAGCAAAATAAAATATGAAAAATAAAGTAATAATTTAGATGAAAAAGAATAATTTATGGTTACAAATGATAAATAACCAACCACTTGCGGTAACAAGTATCTTCACGTAGATGTTACTAACAGAGAATTCAGATGAACTTTGGGATGGAACGACTTCTGATGGATGTTGGGCGGATCTGAAATTTCGTTTATTCTCATACAAAGGACGTCAAGTTTAATCGAATTTTAAAATAAAAAAAGGCCAAAACTTTGAATGTTCTCGAAGGAAAGTAACGATGAAATGAATTGTTTAAGAAGTAGTTAAGATGGAAATATTATGTAAAAGGATTATACATGTACATCATCATCAGTAGATTTTCTTTTTGGGCTTAAGCTGATTCAGCCCTCAAGCAAATATTTTATAATTTCCATTTATATATATATATATATAAAAGAAACTAGGAATTAAGTTATTTTCTTTTGCAACACATCGACTAAACCTTTTATTATCAAAACGAAAAGTGTCAGTTGCCTTTGACGAAAAAAAATGACTGAAATATGTCAAATTCAGATGATTTTAGCTCAAAATAACGTGAGAGATAATCTTCAATTTTATTAAAAATTCATAAGAATGTCGTATATGAGAAGGCGGCAAGAGCTTTGAAGGCAGTATTGGAGGCCATCTCTTACCTACATGGAACTTCCGTAGATTATGCTTTTACCTTCCAATATACAAGTATAATTGCTATTTTATGTGAATCGTGGGGGGAAAGTTGAAAGTAAAAACATGTTTCTTGAGCATTAAAACGAAAATGCTTCCAAATTTGCGAAAGACAATAGAGTTCTTTCTGGCCAGATTGCCAGATGTGATTGAAATGAGACAAGTTCGAGGTGATTACAACATTCTTTTGCTTACATTAAGCTGCATAAGGTAATTTGATTTTATATCAAACCATAAATTACCTAAGGGCAAAGCTAGCAGAGTGAAATGTGAGTAATTATACTTTAAGATACAAACTGAGAATCTAGATTTAACGAAAAACTGCTTATCGAATAGTGTAACTCAATTATTTAATACGGATCCTTAGTGACCCAGCTGGGACTATATTTGGACATCTTTTATATTATTTCTTTTTAATAATTGCTTACCACAAGCACAAATGATTGGAGATATTGCGGATGATCAGACGAGTACCAGCGATAACCACGGCTCCAACGAAGACACGCGAAGGGTGACGATTGCGATGAACCTCAGTGACGATCGACGGCGACTACAACACAATTCTTTCAGAATAATAAGAATGAGGGAAGAACTACAATGGGTTGTCTGGTGCGAAGACAGCTTAGCCTCTAGCTGATCATTCTTTCTTCTCATCACATAAGGATAGTTGGCCAGTGCTGAACTTATAAGAATTCTTTATTGAAAAGATACGGTTAGAGAAGCAAAAAGTCTATTTTCCATCTTAAATAGAATGCGAGGGTCATAACAGGCTGGATTTATGTGAAATTTCACGAAATTTGAAGAAACGAAGAAGAAGATTAAGCAACAACAATATAAAAGAAAGAAAAATAAAAAAAATGCTTGGCTGTAAAACGTTTTTGCACAGAAGATAACTAGGAAAGTGAACAGCACACAAGGGGAAAAGTAAAATGAGAATCTCAAAGGTGATTTAGAATTTTATATTCGTTGTCAAATTATCGAAAGCTTATTGTTATTGAAAGAACTTTTCTATCGAATAAGCTGTGAGGACATGCCAGAAGATATAAGAAACACTCAAATGATAAGTGGAGATATCCGTCTCTTTCCGTAGAAAACACAATCAATGACATATACATCCTGTCATATTGATATTCATTTAGGAAGGTTTTCTAAGTTCAAACTAAAACGTTTTCGTAGTCTTCGTTTTGACGTCCGAAAATGAGTGAACATATCACAAATGGATTACACTGAATGTGAGACAGTTAGGTTGGGTTTAAGAGCTTAAACCCGTATAAAAACCAAAGGAAGAGAAAGCCATCTTATTCGTCTAGTTAACATGACTAATCAGCTTTCTCATTTTTTCAAACAAATTTCGAAAGCAACATTGCTCTTCATTATTTGAGATAAAACTTATAAAAATTGATAGTCTGAGATTGTGAAAAGAAAAAGAAAAAAAGAGCAGCTTTCATCCAGGATGATGAACATGAGAACACAACTTGAAAGAATTTTCACATGCATCATTGCATGATGCTTCTCTCCTGTTGTAAATTTTTAGTAAAATAACTGGATATTCGATCAAATCTCAGATGATGCCAAGACAACGAAGACGATAACACGCTACATCAGCATGCACCATTCCCATTATTCTGGTAAATTGCTGAAAGAACCCGGAAAGCAGAAGAAACAGGGAGTAACTTTTCGAAGCCAAAACGTTTTTCTCCAAAGATTATCAAAAAGATAATAAGGTTATTAGTGGCCGTTAAAAATAGAATAGTAGTATAGGTTGAGTGAATAACTCATTTTGGACTATTCAGTTCACTTTTATGGGTTTCTTCTGTTAAATATTCATAATCAAATCTTATTCCTGGAAGTGGTATGTGACTTCAAAAACAATTCACTCGAAGTCGAAAATAAGTTAGATACCGTACCCATCATAGTTCCATAGGTACAGTGTCGTACAGAAGGACGTTTCATATTGACAGTACACTGAGAATTGGAAAACGGAAGTTTGAAAGTTCATATAAAAAAATTAAAGGGGAAATCTGGGTAGAGGTCTAAGGTCAGCTCCTCCCACAACAAGTGTGTATGTTGTCAATTGGCTTTTGAGGGCGACAAAAGAGGACAAATAGGCGACGGACCATTGATCCCAAAGAATCTCCCCATTCTCGGGAGACCCAAAAGCGAAAGCATCCGCCCATCCTCTCTTCGACAATTAAATGAAGAACAGAAAGATGTTGGAAAGGCAGAAGAACAAAAAGAAGACGATGAGAGAAATAGGAAGATGAGGATGCAACATCTCGGTTGACGGAAAAAAGCGACATGACCAGAGCAACAAAATGACAAGGCTAGGGACAAAACAAGTAAGCAGGAGAGGCAAAATATCTTCAGACACATACGTCAAAGTAGTGGTAGGAGTGGTCTGCAACACATCAAAAATAGCATAGGCAATCTATAAATAAAAGAAAATGAATATGAAAAACAATCAAATTGTAATAAAGTGATTGTTTTAAAAAAATTTTTTTTCCTACTTATTATACTTAAGAGGCTGCGCGAAAGATGCTCAAGAACAAACGACAATTCGATTCTACTGAGATGACTTCCGCCGACAGTGGCCGGAAATCCGGAGAGGAATCCGTTAGTCTAAGTTTTCCTAAAATGCAAACAAATATTTTTATTATTTGTCATAATTTTTACATAATCCCGAAGGTTCTTCCATATCACTCTTCTAATAAACCAAATATGTAATTACAGTCTAATAAACGGATTCCTACATTGATTGCGAAATTAGCATATATCCGTGACACGCGGATGTTCATACGTTTTAATATTGTCTCGGTGTTCGGTTGCCGCAGGCTGTGCTCTATTTTTCTATATAGAATTGACATTATTTTCCAGGCTCTCAACTTCGAATATAATGAAACACATTGATAATTACTTATGATAAACATATCTTCCCTGGTTTTGCGACTCTATTCCTTCGTGTCATGAATACTCAATCAAAAATTTTCAGAAGCTTTTGTATAACACCTACGCGCAAATAATCATAATACAACCCATTTTCTGATTTACTTTGTAATTAAGTTTCTTGAAGCAACATATCGTCATATTTTATTTGGAACAATCAAAGAGAATAATAAAGTACATCAACATCAGACGATTACCAATAGAGAACTTAAGATTAAAGTTTAGATGAAAGTGATTGGAAACTATAAACAGCTTAACAATAAAAAAAGTCTCCATAACTTTGCCATACTTAATACAATTAACAACAAATCATGTTTGTGGTGCCAATCCACCAAAAACGGCTGCCGGTACCGTTTGAGTATCAATATCTGCAATTGAAAGCATAAAGCTCAACGAAGTATATATTTGTGATACCTTTGTCATCCTCTTCCTCATCTCCGTCGTCGTCGTCATCATCGATATCAATTTCATCAGGATTTTCCGTGGTGTCTTGTTGTGTCGTCTTGCTGGCTCCTCGAACGAAAGCAATGTTGCCACCCTTTTGTTGTTCAGCGACCTGACGATTGATTTAGATTTAAGAAGTTTTCTGTATTATTACCTGTATGGCTTGAGCTTCGAGCATTGCCATAGAATCCCCAGCTGTTTTGCCATCTCCGGGTACTTGAACACCACCAGCAGCAATCATTTGTGCAGACATATAGTTAACATTAGTATTGTAGGTAGCTTGTACAGATCTCTTGATGCGCAACATATCGCGGACAGTATCTTCATTTCCATGCTTAACTTCAAACTCTTTCCATGTTTCCCAGAATTGACCGTGGACCTCAAACACAATATTTAAACAATACTAAACTGCGACTCACTCTTGGATCACAAATCTCAGAGCAATGAGCATAAACGGCACGGGCACGATCAATTTCTCCCAAGGCTCTCTCCATTTGAGCATATCGCATACTCATATCACTGAAATAAACAATAGCAAGTGAAAATCTCTGGAATCCTACCGAGATCTGTTTTCGGGAAGCATATTGATAGCATGCTCGTATATAGGCCGCGTATGAGGTAAACCATATAATTCAGCAGCTTTCTTGATGTATATGTTGAACATGGCATACATTTCTTCTTTCTCGACCGCATTGGTAGCTCGATTATAAATAGACATGGCATGTCTAGCCAAGCCATGTTCTTCTTCCAACTTGGCATACAACAAGAAAATGTCTGAATAGAAAAGTGCAAGCTTATACATATGGTGTGTTTAATATACTTTTCGCAAACTTCGCAGGACATGACTCTAAACATTGTTCGAACAAATCTCTCGCTCGCTCCAATTTTTTACCACCCTGAAGGCAGCAAATAAATTCGATTTCAGCTTACAGAACTTACGTATCGCTTAATGAACTTGGTTAAGTACAAATTCCAAATATCGTACACATTTGGCCATTTAAACAATGCTATTCCACGCTCGTATGCCTATAAAAGTGTGCAAACTCTGATTCAAACACTTAAACAAACCTTGAAAGCATTTTCAAAATACTCATGTTCCTCAAGAAATACTGCATAATTGATGACAATTTGGGGGGTTGATATACGGAGATCCAAAATCCTCTCGTAGACGGCTTTTGTGCCTTCGATCTGTGAAAGATTGGGATCTGGCTTCGAAAGAGTTGAAAACATACTGTTCCGAAGCTTTCTTCTAAATCCGCATACATAGACCAAACTCGTAAACTTTTGTAGACTCTGTTTTGAACAGTTTCAGTCTCGTCGAAGAAATTTGTTTTGCGAGGGGGAGCAGCACAAGCCCTCTTCATAATGTGTATAGCTTTGTCTGCATGTCTGGAAATATTTTCTAAGGGAAAGTAGAGTAACTGTTATCTAACTTGTTTCTTAACTCCATCTCAGCATACTCGGTCCAAACAATAGCTAGCTCATCAACTTTCACGTATGGCGTCTGTAGTGCTTTTTCAAAAATACTTCGAGCCTGAAAGAGAGAGTACGCATAATGTATGCGACTTAAGTAACTTACATCCTCTAATTGACCACCCCCCTCGTAGAACTTGGCAAACTCAACCCATACTACATTCAGCTTGCCCACTTGCAATTTAGGATTGATGGTTTTTACAGCTTCCAAAAAAGTTTCAATTTGCTGAAGTAATACTGAAAACGTGAAAGAAATTGAGTCAAACCTTTTCGGGACGCCCTTCATATAACTTCACCCTGTTCAACCACTCATGACAATTATGAGGGTTTTGTCTCAACAGAACACTATTCAGCAATAGCTGACGACGGCCCATAAGATGTTCGAATCTAAATTATAAACCTATTATACTCGAACAAGATTCAACTGAGATACCTCGCAAACATCCACTCGAGTTCAAGTTCAGCTTCATCATCGCCTTCCTCAATATCATCCATCCTAGAAAAGACTAAAAAATCTAAAACATACTGATACTACCTAGCAGCGGTCTCTCTCTCTTCAAATTTGGCGTATGCATCGAAAATTTGAGTGAAATCACGAACAGTTCGAACAGTTGACATGGCCTCCTCATAAACATCACGAGCCTGAAGAGCTTAATCTTAGAAAACCACAAAAATTTAAACATCATCACTTTTTCAAACTGTCCTCCTCTTATATAATACTCGGCTAGCGAACACCATAAGACACCAACCTATAAGATGGTTATAAGCAACGCTGTATGAGCATGTTGATCATGAACTCATGAACTTACAAACACATTCGTTTTTAATGCGAATACTGATGAATTTGAGAAGAACTTACTTGGTCAGAATATTTGCTGATACCTTGGCGCATAATAGCATCCACTTGGAGCGAGTGCACTTTTGTTGGATTTTTCGAAATCAATTCACATAGCTCTGACCATAGCTGTAATTCATTATGTAACAGAAACATACTGAAAAAATACCTGATGAGCAGTTTTTCCTTGTTCACTTATTGGTTTGTCCTCATTTACAAGAATGGCTAACTGTTTTGCTGCTTCATCAAGTTGGTCGATTGACTTCAAGTAAACAACATACTCCTCTCTCGCTCGTGGGTTAAGTTTGAGATATCTGCGACATGGTTATAAACAATTGTTCGCATTATAACATCACCTTCTATAAACACGGATAGTCGTTTCTGGTACAGAATGGCTTGTTAGAAACTCTATATATATAGGCCATATACGCATGTGCTGAGTTACGGGCAAAGCTCTTTAACATGAAATTGTCTAGAAAAATAAGGTCACACATACCTCAGTGCTCGATCAAATACACGCCTTGTTTCAGTGATGAGACGACGTTTTGCCATAATACCGCAATAATCCATCCAAATACGAGGCATCTAAATTGAGCTATACTCCAGCTTGTTAAACGAAGTTACCTTGTGTAAGTGAATCAAACATCGCTCATAGGCATCACAAAGATGCTGCCAAGACGCATCTGTTGGACATTTGTGGTTGATTATTCGTCTACGATACCTTAAGTATTGATACCAAAGCTTATAGCTACGTTCAAATATCTTTAATGCTCTTTCATAAACCTATAATGAAAGTTAAAAAACGACACTAGAGATGTTTAAACCTGGCAAGTTTGCTTCCAATGAGCCTTAGTTTTTTTCTTGTGATCAATGTACCGTTGCCAACTTCGTAACGAACATGGATTCTTGAGAATGTCTTCTTCATAAGGCAGATCTTCGTCTTGCTGGAAAAAAATGATATTCAGAACAACTGCGTAAAACTCACAATTAAAGCTTTACGGGCATTATCGGCAATTTCTTTGGTTTCAGCCGAGATATCACTCAAGTCAAGTTTATCACTCTCAGGCATCTTCATGGGAAGTCTAAATTCAAAATAGTCTAACCGATTCGTCAAAAATGGTCATACTCTTCTAAATATTTTTTTGTTAACGAAGACGTTTGAATGCCCCCGGAAATTGGTCCTGCAACGATCATCATTTCGAACAGCGTTTGAAATTTACTTCATTTGAATATTGAAGGCTTTGATGGGGCACGCTCTAAAACTTTTTCGAATAGCAAAAGTTGAATTAGCTTTTGTACAGCGTTTGAGCATTTCAACAGGAGATCCGAACAAGCTTACTTTGTATACTAGTGCTGATTGCTCGTTATGTGTTCATTTCAAAAATCATATGAAGTATTACTTTGACCGAAAATTGATAAAGCAAGAAGTGGAAAGCGTCGATTTAAAAACAGCAGACAAAGATATATTCGAAGTTAGTTTGAACATCAGCGATTTTGAATTAAATATCTTTTTTTTTGGAAATATAAATACGATATACCAGTCCTTGTTCATAGAGGGGCTGTTATCTGCAAGCATAGATTCAGCTCTCTCGCATACGAAGAGTATCGGAAGAATAATCGAAAATAATGATAGCTGTTCATGGAGGTATTTCAACCTTTTTTTTCAAAACAATTTTTTCTTAAGGAGTTGCGTTCAAGCATGCCAACTCGGCTTCTAAATGGTGCTCTGATTCGTTGAAAGGAGATAGTTTTGATGTGGTTGATGCTGTGATGGTATCGCCAAATAATTGATATAAATTTGTTTGATTATGTTTAGAGTTTGGAATCTCATCCTTTTTTTAATTGTGGAAAGGGCTCAAATTTTAATAAATGTGGTTCAGTTGAATGTGAGGCTTGCTTTATGAGTACAGAAAAGAGCAGGTATGATGAGGTTGGATCAGCTCATCATTTTTCTTTTAGCTTCGGGGCCGTGGGGTCATTATCGAAAATAGAATTTCCATCAAAGTTGGCTAAAATCTTAGCGACACATACTGCTATTCCCGGCCTAGTTAAGCCTCAAGTTTTAGTTGGCCAAGGGGCAGAAGAGTTCGCCAGTGCGAATGGTTACTTTTTTTTCTGGGGGTTAATTTGTTTTAATTAGTTCTGATGTTATAGGCATTGAACTGATAGATAATTCATTATTGCGAACGCGTGGGGCAGAAGAAGAATTCCGAAAATCTTGTACCATGTTGACCGAAAATCGTTATGATACGGTCGGTGCTGTTTCTATTAACGTGGGTACATTCTTTCAACAATGGGTTATGATCTCTCGCTTCAGAATTCCACGGCGGAAGCTTGTTCATCAAGTGGCGGAATATTGCTGAAACATCCAGGCAAAAACTCTACTTCACTTGAAAATTGTTTACCTTTCTTCTAGGTAGACTTGGTCATACGGCTTCTTATGGCTCAGCCGTTTGGTGCGAAAAAGCTGAGAATTTTTTGCTTTCTGTAGCTGTTAGTGGTTGTGGAGAAGCTCTTGTAAGAACAAACTTTTGCAGATCTGTGTCTTCCGAAATAAAAAAAAGGTAAACTATTTAATTCCGCTTCTCTTATTGATAGCAATAATAGGAGAGATGTAATGAGTCCTGTGCAAATTATTTATGAATGGTTCAAGGAGAATTTCACGAACTCTGCGGAATTAGAATATTTCTCTACAGATCATTTGTATGCTGGCGGAGTATTGCTACTACAGGTGCGTGGCTGAATAAGAATTTACTAAAACTATAGTTCAGGAAGAAAATTCGAAGGAGCTGTTGGTATTTCATAACACCCCCTTTCTACCGGTCGCATATAAAACAAATAATAAAATAAAGCGGTTCGTTTCATCCCTTGGTTCAGCTGACTTCAAATGTGAATCTATTTTAATAAATTAATATTGTACGTTCTTTACTCGACTGATGGTTTGAATACCATATTTATTTCAAGAAATGCTCAATCGTTCCTTGCTAACCACCGTTCAGATGGGCGTAGAAGAATTCATAAAAAATGAAATTGAAGGAGAATCTGAAGAGGAAAACCCAAAGTTCATGTAAGCTTGCCGGAAAGAAGTGGAGTTGAATTTCTTTCAGCTTTGATATACCTGAGAGAGATGATGATTTGCTGTTAAAAAATGACGAGTTTTATTACGTTAAGAGACTGTTGGAGCCAAACGAGTGTTTTCAACAACTTGATGGTTCTTTATTTTTTGTACCTATTCTTATCATAAATTTATAGCTTTCGAAGTGAAGTTCCACTCCACGTTTGCGAACGACAAATGGAAACTCTTGAGTGATTATTTCCCAGCCTTCTTTGCGTTAGCTAGGTATCTGCTGTTATTATTTTCCTTTCTTTTAAAATCTATCCCCCTAAAAAAGAAGTTCTTCTCAATACGATGGACAGACATTGGACTACTGGTCGAAACGCTTGAAAGCTATTGAACTGCTACTTGCTTGTCAGTTAAATTTTTTAGACAATTCATACATTTGTGTTAGGTCATCAAGTCCTGTATAAAGATGTCGTGTGCAGCATAAAACAATATTTAGAAACAGATTTCTCAACATATGGAATCATTGTGTGTAGAAGGTAATTGCATATATTTTCACTCAGTACCATCTATTTCTTCAGGAATGGAGTTCTCATGTTGCTATACTTACTAAACAGATTAACATTTCTTCTGGAAACTGAAAACATTTGTCGGTACGGTCATACTTTTTCGACTATAGTTAATTCTGTGACAGGGAGAGAAGCCAGGGTAAAAAAGGAAGAGGAAAAACAGAGTTGGATCCCGAAATGACCAAATGGATCTTACTAAGAGTCAAAGTGAGTGACTTACTATTAACTAGAATGCCCTTTTACATTCAGATTATTGAAGCTTGTGTGGCATATTGTAACATATCTGTTTTTGACAGAGAAGGAAAGAAAAGAGAAGGAGCGTTATGCTACTTCTGGAGGAGTAGGGTGGTGGATAAATCTATCATAAGGTAGTGCCTCAACTTTGAATGTTCTTCTCATACTGTCTTTAGAATGATGACGGATATGATTCTGAAATTTTTGGAACATCCCGAAAACATCAGAGCTTCTGCCAAACCTTGGCTAACGCATGTTTTTAAACTTTGTCGAGCAGTGTGTGTGAGATTCGATTGTTATACACGTATGCTCGCCCTCTAGGTCCATATGTTAAAAAAATCTTTTCAAGGTCTAGCTGCTGCACTTGTTCAAAAAAGCTGTCAGCTAGAATTTCTTAGAGAGAGCACCACGCATGTTTTTCCTTTTGTGGAACCATTGGTTGTTGTTTCTCAAAACAGTAAGTTACTGTAAATCGTTCGAATCCTCATTTAGAATTGTAGATGATATGGATGTTGTACTTTCTCATATGTTCAATATGATTGGACAATTCGATCAGAAAGAAAACATTCAAAACCTAAGACCAATTGCTTTGTTCATTCAAACTGTTGCTGAAAAAGCTCCTAAAGTACTACTGAAACATTTGATCACTATATCAACATACTTACGAGACGATGTAAGTTGTTTGGACCCAATTTACAAAAATAAAGTTTTAGCCGAGCCAGCTCAGATCTGCTGCATTATCAGCTATTGCAGATCTGCTCTGTAGTGATTTGTTCTCGGAACCATCATGTCACCAGTCTACAAGATTATATGAAGCTAGAGATAAACTCTTCGACCGACTTCTGGTATGGAAACTGTAGTTACATAAAACTTGAGGTTGTTCCAGGACCATTTGCTTGACCAAAATGCTCCCGTGAGATGTAAAGCTGTACATCTATGGGCAAAATTGGCTGAGAGAGGGAAAATCCCAACACATATGTTCAAGAAATGTGTCATTTCGCGAATAGGTTGGATCAAATCTTTAATCAGCTTGATTTTTCTCAACTTCAAGGGAAGAGATTGTTGGACAAATCGGTTAATGTTCGTAAAGCAGCCGTTCATTTTCTATCAGTTTTCCTAGTACACAATCCGTTTGGTCATGATGTAGGCTATATCTATTGGATAGCTTTCCTTAATTTGTTCAGTTCTCTCTAAATTTGCATATGCGGGAGCTGATGAAGTTGGTGAAAAAACGGCAGTCTATGAAAGCGGTAGATCCAGGTTTTTTAAGCGTTTTTTCATTCACCCGATAGCTTTTCTTTTCCAGTTATGGAAAGATTGGCTAATGCCAGTCAAAAGTATGACGACATGGAACCAGAAATAAAAACTCATCTGGAGTTTTGGCTGAATCATTACATCAATGAAAACTCTTCCGATATCACAGAGGAAGTGGATGAGAGTTACCCAATGAACGAGTATAGGCTGAGCCGTTAATACTGTTTTGGTTTTACCTCTAACCGTTCAGAGTGTATTGCGCTGCTATGCTCCAAATCGTGAACAGTCCAAAAGATTCAATAAAAGTTTTGTTCGAATTGATGAGAAAAAATTTCTTTAAGACGGTCAAGATATGGGAGTGAGTGCATTCTATTTATGAATAATCTATAACACTTTTTCAGAAACGAAACTATGGAAGAGAATGTAGATCGACTGTTCGCTGAGTTTAGAGAATCGTACACACGTTTGCTCACCACCGCAGAAAAAGAAGTATGTGAGAAGATGCTTATATTCAATATATATTTTTTCAGGATAATGCAATACAGTTGGAAACAGAAGAGCGACAAGAAGATTATGTCAGCAAACTAGAGAGGTTGAATTCTAGTATAGATGGGCTATCAGTTTAACAAAAAAAATAGGATGGGTAGAAGATACAACTTTTCAGGAAAAAATAGTGGTAGAGTTAGAACTTGAAGAATGTGTTCCGTTGGCCCTCCGTGCGGTTGTGAATGGTGATCTAGCAGAGATGAGGGAAGGAATTCGTTTTGTTGTTGAATGCAAAAATTTCATGATCAGGTTCATCAATTTCACTGTTAAGCGTTGCAATATCTCGGTTACAGCGGTGCGGATAAGGCTGTACGCATCCTGTGTTCTTTGATATGGAGACAAAATAACGACGTGAAAAAAGAAGTTATAGAAGCAGCATCCAAGATGTTTTTGAGTAGTAACAAGTAAGTAGTCACAAGTTGAATCTGTCGAACCATGAAAATTCAGAAATCCAGAAATTCAAAAAGTGTCTACAGCCTCGAACTTATTGAGCGTGGTTCAAGGGATGGAAGAAGTATTTGTTTGTTCGCTTTTCATTGATATTAGCTAATTTTCAGGAGGAACGTGGTTGCATTGAGGAGGTTATTTCACATTTAGCTGGTTCTATTACTCCTGGAGTCTACGATCATATTTGGAGTGTAAGTTGTGGTTTGAAAAATGAAGCCTTCTCTTTCAAGATTTTCGATAAACGTCCAGGTCCTATCAAACTCGTTGCTATTCGTCTTCTCGCTATTTTGGCAAAGTTTACATTCCATAATTTCGGATTTTATCACCCCTCTGTATAGATCTGGTCGAACCATTCTCAGAAAACGCTTCAGAAGTTTCCAAAAAGTTATTAGAGATCCTGATGTAGAGACTAGTGTGAAAGCAGAAGCTCTTCAAGCTATTGCCAATCTTGCTTCTGATGTAGTTTGCACGTTTTAGTTCTTTATCACATGATTGTTTTAGCGTTCCGATGATATAAGTGAGCCGTTCCGTATCACTCAGACTGATTCTTTGTTCTCTACCTTAGAAACGTTCTTATACTCCGGTTTTCCCTTCTTGAGTTCTGATTACACGTCTACTTCCAGAACTTCTATGTGTCAATACCAAAACGGAGTGGTACAACATCATGAGGAATTGTGTTTATATATATTTTAATATAGCTAAAGAAACATCAGAAGTTATAGGAAAAGTAATGGGGAAGGTAAAATTAAGAAGCTGGAGTTTGGCTGTATAATCTCGTACAGGTTTTATTATATAACAAACGGATGAGTGAATGGGTAATGTATTACGAGAATGCGGTCTTGGAAACAAGTGATCCTGATACATTACTCAAACTGGAGAAGAAAAGGTTTTTTATTATCCCATTTTTCATATATGAGTTTGTTTTCAGGAGTTATTTCACTAGACTGTTCTCCCTTGTCACAGAACGTACTCTCTCCATGTGTGGGGAGGTGATTAGCGCGAAACTATGCATGACTTATAAAACATTTTTAACAGATTGCTTTCCGTTGTGTTGTTTTCGCCGACATAAGTTTTTGTAAAGAAGCTCGTCGTTACCCATCATTGATCTCCAAATATCATCAGGCATGCTGTATGCATCCGTATATTTATATAAGCTGTTTAGGGTGAAGTTAAGTCTCAGAAAGCTCATTGGAGGGCCCTGAAAGATTTCGAATTGCGTTGTGCACTTCGTCGAGGTCTTTTCGATTTCTCTTGCGAAAAAACTGAGGGTTCCGGTTAGTTTGCATATTTCTCTAGAATCCAAAACATCTTGTCTGCAGGTACTACTGATGAAGAAAGAATACGAATCAGAAGTGATAAAATATTAGAGCATAAAGTGTGGAAAAATGGACGTATTTTATCTCGTCTTCTTCCTTTTGTTGTATATTGCCTCCGCGCTAACAAGAGTCCCCCTAGTGTGAGGAATGCAGCAGCTTTGGCATTCACAAAGTTTATGCTTGTTAGGTATTACAAATTTGTTAAGACTAAGTTATGATAAGTCATTTTCAGTCGCGAGTTAAGCGAAAAGGGCGCTGAAGTATTTTTCTCTCTGTTAACAAACTCTGAATGGGCTTCTCTTAGAAATAACCTAATGATAGCGTTAGGAGATCTTTGCTTCAGAGCTCCCAATATGGTCGAAAAGTATGCAACAGATGTTTATTCTATGTAAGAAGTAGGTGAAAGCTCTTTCACTGGTTGTTACTTTTCAGGACAAGTGATAAATGCCCGGCTGTTAGAGAAACGGCTCTTTTGGTATTATCTCATTTGACCAATAACCAGATGCTCAAATTGCGGGGAACAGTCGCTGATGTTGCCAAGTTCACTATAATAGTTTACAGGGTATATTAAATGTATTATAGATGTTACCTGGATGATTCTCCTACTATTCGATGCCTCGCTAGAGAATTCTTCAGCTCTTTGAATGAAAAAGCGAGAAAATACTTTATTTTATCGAACTTCTATTTTCTTGTAGGGTAGTTTCGTCTACAACCTCATGCCGGATTTCATTTCTAAGTTGTCTCGTTGCAATCGAGAAGTTAACTTGAACGAATTCAAAGAAATTATGGGGTTTGCTATATTTGATGATTTTTGTAACGGTTTGTTCCAGAGAGCTTCTCGATTTGGTGAAAGACAAACACGCAGATCCATTAATAGAAAAAGTTTGTCAAAGATTTGAACTCGCGAAAACGTAAGCTTAAACACATTTTCAACTTGATCAGATTGTGACAGAAATGAAAGAATGACTCAAAATAAACACCTGCCTTACTACTTTTCCTTCTGTATTTCTAAGCTTTCTCTCAGCGACAAATCACTGTATAAGGTAAGAACATATTTGATCTACTGCTATCAAAAAGCTTTTCCAGATGAGAGACGCTCTTCCATGCTTCGCACCATTCTTGAAAGACAAACTGATTTACAATGATTTCGCAAGTTGTGTGCAACTTCTGGCCAAGAATACTAAAAGTATAGATGTTAAGGTAGGAAGGATGTGTTGAATGTATTTACATATGCTCTTTTAAGGTTGATGCCGAAGATCTAGAGAATCAATTCCGGAGAATTAACGAAAAAGGTCAACGAGCTTCCGATTTTGAAAAGAAAGGGGTGAGTTCATAGCTGATAGGTATCGAAGCATCAAGTTTCTCGTGCTGTGCTTTTTACTTGACAACAGCTGGTTAGAACATTAAAAATGTTAATATTCCAGAGTCTTCGTTCTAAACCTAAAAGAGCGGCTGTTGCTATATCCAAAACACGAGTAAAACCTAAGAGAGCAAGGGTTCGTTTTAGTTCGGATGACGACGAATAATACTGACTATAACTATTGCATATCTGATCTCTAATCCAAATTTACTCACATATTGTAAATATTTAACATTGTAAACTGACTTTCATCGGATTTTTCTTGTAAATCAGCAATTATATATCTTCATTCGTTTAAAAAAGAAATCGCAGCTTTATTTTTGACTACTGTTTTGTTACGAAGGGTTCCCTATCCCTGTTGTGATCTCTTACTTTATAGTGTGTCATATGTTGTTTAAACTTGGATGTTTTAGAAAAAAACAAAAGTACAAGATTAACTTGGTAATACCAATCAGTTGCTTGCGAACAGTAATCAGCTCTCGTATCTTACTAGCTGTTTGTAACTTTTTGAATATGTCGTTGTGTCGTGGACGAGGGGGCGGAACCTGTAACAGCCCCTTCTGGACGTCAACAGGGAAAGGAGACATTACAACGAAAAGAAAATCTTGAGCAAGATTTCTCTCACGATTGTCTTTCTTAACTGATCTAGTTGAGCCTATTTTTAATGGAGTCCTTTTTAGAGGTGAGTTCTATCTACATAATGTTCATATATTCGCCTGATGATGCTGACATTTTCATGAAGTAGAAAAATTTTGTTTTGTTTGAGTTGTGAACGACGAGTTTGCTTTTCGTTATCGATTGATTATTTGAAGCTTCCAGGCTAAAAAAGCTCGCGATGAAGATTTTGATGATTTGATGGCGGCTTGTAATTTTGCGAAAGAAGCAGCAAAGAATGGAACAGTACGTAGCGTTGTATGTGGAGTATCTTCATAAGTAGTTTTAGGCTATAGAAAAACCACCTGGTGCTGATGAAACTGCAGAGGAGACCTTAGTAAATGATAAACTTGGTGATGATGTAAGAAATAGATATTGCGTCTACTTTATCACAATTTAACACAGAAAGCAAAGCAGCAATTAGTGTCAGATTTCGAAGCCGTAACCATAGAGTCCCCCCCAAAACAACGAATAATCAGAGAGCCTCATGCTCTGGATAATCTAGTTAGTTATACGCATATTTACAAAGAATTTCATAAATTCTGTTCGGATATATAAGGATATTTCCTTTAAAACATAAATATATTTGCATGGTAGTGTGTACTGATGTCTATGTGTCCATTTATAGCCAGTTGTCGAAGTTTCGTGTTCAGTAGCATTTGTCGGTAAAAATCAATCAGCCACTTGTTGAAGAGTACTTTTACTTGGACAATCTTTAAGACGAAATGGAGAAGGATTCTACAACTTCCAAGACTGTCTATATGTAGCTACTCCATTTTCGATTCGTTTTTTCTGTACTAACGATAAATAATTAGAAATTATTTTTCTATATGTTGTTTATAGTTTTAGATTCTTCTATTATCTACTGTTTTCTGTTTGCTTCTTCTCAAACTCATCAAAAGCTGAAAAATAGATCAATATTTGACCGATCGAAGCGTGAAAAACATCCCCCGCAGTTCTTAGCTTATGCACATGATTCACAGAGTGGTCATTAAATTTCTAAACGTTTATATCTTCTTTTTCTTTTAAGTATAAACATATGGTCATTATTTCAGCAAGCAGAGTTATTCAATCCTGAATCTCAAACGTGTGTAGAAAAAGATGAGAATGGGTTTGTGTTCTACAAGTGCCGCTTTTGTGGTCTCACTTTCAATTATATGAACACACTTCGAGCTCATGAACGGGTACACAATGTTGCACAGGTAAGTATTATCAATTTATATATCTACGGAGTTGAATCCGTATAGCTCTATGTATTATGTAATGAGTGAATATTTGAGAAAACTATTATACTTTAGCCATACGTATGTGGTAAATGTGGAGAATCATTCGAGTTTTCCTGCCAGCTAGAGTACCACACCACCCAGCATGGAAGTAGGTTTTAGTGTCATACATTTATCGAAGAGCTGTTGAAGATGTCAAAGGATATAAGTGTGAATGCGGAAGAAGCTTTTATTCCTATACTGAAATGCTCTATCATAAGCACCCTGAAGATATTCAAGTCGAGAAAGATGCGGTAAAATATATGACTGTAGATACCCAGTATACTGCTTTTCAGCGTAATTCTCAAACATTGATCGTAGCGCCTTCTACTTCTACTCTCCCCGTTACTTTATCAGACCTCCCCGTTCCCGAGTTCGCTGAAAAAGGCTTCGAGCCTAAGCATCCCATGAAAGTTCGTTTAATTTATATCTAAATACTTGAAAGAATTTTGAGTTGAAGACCAGTATGAAGGTTGTTTTATGTATCTTCTTCAGGTATATAGTGATGTACGTTCCAAACCTTATATTTGTGAATATTGCGGTAAAAGCTATGCTGAGAGTAGAATGTTGGCTAGTCATATGTATAGTCATAGAGGTGAAAAGACTTTTAATCCTAGAGCTTCACGTTACATGATTGGTCGCCAGGGCATTGGATATACTGATAGGTTGGATTTACATGTTTCGAAATATTTTTTCATTTCATTTACAGAACTTCTTACTATCTGTTTCCTAGAACAAGTGGTTATATTCCACCTTTATAGACGCCATGAGATAAATGTTTCAATGTATAACATTCGGAGAACTGTTCGGTTCTAAACAATGTCATGATTGTTCTTAATAAATAACTATATTTGGGAGATCCTACTTCTATAATTTGGATGGTGGTTTCAATTCCTTATTCACAAATTGAATAGCTCCTTAAAAATACAAGATTTTTTTTTATTTATAAGAAATTACCTCTTACTGCCTTGTCTAGTACAGAAACACTTTTTAACTCATTGATCATAGATTCCTCAAAACCATTTTCTTGTGCATAGAAAACAGAGTTCCTATCGGCTATCATGCAATCATACGGGTGAGAAATTATTTCTTTCGCCAGCTCAATAGAATAATTTAGTGCTTAAATACAAGTTGAACAATACAGGTACTCAAACATGCCTTCATCTTTCTCGACAACTCGATTAACTAAGCCCCATAGTAAAGCTTCTTCAGCTTCAACAGCTCTGCCTGTCAAAATCATCTCTAACGCTCTGAACGGACGTTCCAACTCATATTTTCACTGCGTCATACCGTCCCTGTCCAACAATGCGTTGCAAGCGAACAGTACCGCCATCTATTAACGGAACTCCAACTCTGCGGCAAAAGACTCCAAACTTAGATGTCTTTGAAGCAATTCTAATGTCAGCTGCGTAAATAGAATCAAGTATTTCATAAGAAAATTTTCCACACCCATCAATGATAGTTCAAGACCACCAGCTACGGCATAGCCTTCGATAGCAGCGATTAAAGGTTTCTTTAACTTCATCGAAGTGGGTCCCTTAGCACAAACATTTTTAACAGAACTTTGTTCATAATGGCAAACCATGTATCTGTATTTAGGTAAAAAATTCTTTTCTGTTTCAATTTTTCCTTCAGAAACATCTTTCAGGTCATATCCGGCACAAAAGTTAGAGCCTGTAATTTAAAACAAAGTTACATTTCTCATACCAAATCATCGGGATACCTTGACCGTAAAGAATTGCTATTTTAGCCTCCTTATTCTCGTTGAAATCCTCGAACGCTCTTATTAGCTGACAAGCTGTATCATGATTAACAGCATTGTTTTTAGTCGGTCGGTTGATGGAGATTAGCATAATTTTATCTTTCAACTGCGCTCGAACTTAAGTGAATGACAATCAAAATTAGAAAAGTTACCTTCATAACAAACCTAGAGGTTCAACCATACTTGAAAATGTTCTTATCATGCTCTTTGTGACACGAACAACTCTAAGTTTCAAGGCTCTTACAGTAAAGTATTCTCTCAGTATAGTATTTTTTCTGTTTTAAAGTACGCAATGAGTCGTAATGCGAGTTTCTCATAGATTATGAGCTCGAATTGCTTTTTGAAATTATTCTAACTGAGTGATGAGTGATATTGTTATAGCAGAGAAATGCCTACAACCTTGTAAAACTGAGCGAGTAAGTTCCAATTTAACCAGTTATTTTGTGATTAGAAGTCTTCAAGGGTGAAGAAGCGAAGTTACATCCCCTTGTGGTTTTGAACATTAGCGATCACTGGACCAGAACGAAAGCGCAATCAGAAACTAAAGCTCCAAAAAACGTATGTGCATAGTGCCCATCATTAAAATCATAATGATCATGATTAATTCAGGTTTTTGGAGCTTTGCTCGGCAAAGACGAGGGTAGATGTCTTGAAATCATTAACAGCTTCGAAGTTCGCACTTTTGACAAAGATGGAAACGTTCTGTTCAATGAAGAGTACTTACAACAACGAGAAATGCAGTGTATGCTTATTCGAGAACATTGGGGTTGACCATTATTATAGTCAAAGAAGTCTTTCCCGAACTTGACCTTATTGGTTGGTATGGAACAGGAACCACTGACATTACTATAAATGATTGCGCCATCCAGTCCAGCTTCGCTAGTACGCATGGAGCTCCAATATTTTTAAAGCTTGATCCTAACGGAGGCGAATGCTCTTCTAAAGTAAGCTCATAATTAGTTTACAGTTGAATTTTTTTCTAGTTGCCTATAACTCTATGGGAAAGTGCTATCAACGAGAACAGAATTCGACCAATTAAGTGGATTTTGGTATCGGAGGAGAGTGAGAGAATCGGTATCGACCATATAACGAGGTATTCACTAAGAACTGACTAAAACCTTCTTTTTTTTAGACTCTCTACTAAAGCTGGTCTAACTACCAAAGAATCTGAGGCCGCTAAACAAATTCGATCTACGAATTCTGCAATCTCCATGCTTACTTCTCGTGTTCAGGTGTTTTATACCAATAAATTGCTTCAAACCAGTTGAAGTTATAGATGATTCAACATTATTTGGAATCGGTGAAGGAAGGTATATTACCAATGAATGATCAAATTCTCCGTGAGTCAAACAAGTTGTGTCAATTGCTAGTACGCCTTCGACCTTCCGAATATGATCCAGCTTTCGAAACGGTTTTCATCCATTAAATTCAAGCTTACCGAAAACAATTTTTTAAGCAAGAAAGCGATGTTTACGGAGCTGTTACCTTGGCCCGAATGACTGAAATGTGCGGAGTGCTTGGCCAGGTATGTGTAAAAGAAGTGTGTTAGTTGAAATATTTCCTAGCTCGTTCAAAAAGTGAATGTACTGCATAGTGAGAAGAATGTGATGCCGATCTCCGCGAAAAAATCTGGATTAGGTATATCCGATGTGTCGTTCATTTAATTTGTATTTATTAATTTTCTGAAATAATATGTGTTTATCAAAAATATTTTTCGGAATTCGTTATTTATGACTCACTTCAACCATATTTTTGAATAAAGATTGATTTCGAGTTTGTGTCATTGGTAAATTGGGTTGGAAACCAACACTTTTTTTAAGCTTTTTTTTCTAGCTTATAGCTATTTTTACAGACAATGCAATTTTGTCGTTTACTGAGGTTCAAGCACACAAATAGCTCGCGTTGTTTCTTTAATAAGACATTCGCAGAAGCAAAAACCATTAGCACAGTTAGCTCTTCTGAGTTGTTCTTTTTAAGTTGCCTTTGCAGGGGCTATTCGGGAATTCAGAACTCAAAACGCCAGCTGATTTCAAGAAGCTGAATGAAAATGTTAGGAAAAACTGTTCATGCATTGTTCGTGAAATCATGTCAGGTTCTGAAAATAAAACAACAGTACAGCTCTTGGATGATTTGTCGAACGAAATATGTAAAGCTGCAGATTTGGTTTGTTGAAGGTATATTTCACAGAAATCTATAGTTTTAGACTGAGTGTATAAGACAGTTACATAGTGATCCAAAGTTCACTGCAGCAGCTGAAGAATCTGCTCGAGATTTTTGCCAATTGGTCGAAAGGTTTGCGTGAGCGTAGTACGCATTTTTTTCTTTTCTAGTTTGAACACATATACGGAATTGTATGAGAAACTCAATCAGTCCAAAAATCAAGAAATAAATAGATTGAGCGATGTGGACAAAAGAACATTAGACCTGTTTCTGGATGATTTCCAACAGTCTGGCGTTCATCTTCCACAAAATAAAGTTAGTTCTGTTCAATGGCTTTTCTCTATTACGTGATCTAGAGAGAGAAGTTTGTTCAGCTGTCTGAGGAAATTTTCGATGCTGGTGCTCGGTATCAGTGGGGATGTGATCATGAAGTAGAAGTAACCAGGTGGGTCGATGATCACCTCAACTTACATCAATAATAGAAGCGATAAAAAAAAATATGGACTTCACTCGACTAAACTTTTTTCTCCTGTAGTTGATACTTTCAATAATGAAGTCAGAAAGTTTGTTTATACTTCATTCTATCAACATAACAAAAATCAGGTATACTCTAGCTTAGTTGGTACTGATAGAACAGTTGTAGGAGAATTCTCTGAGAACCTTAGTATCCAAGAGACATGAGCTGGCTCAACTGACCGGTTTCGAAACGTTCTCTCATCGAGCTCAGCACAACACATTAATGGGAAGTTACGATAACGCCAAGAAGTTTCTCTGGGGCATAATTGAGGTTTTTATCAGCTTCCTCAGCTTAATATATAATATACGCAGGCATGCCGGCACTCTGCGGAGAAAGAAATAACGGTTTTATTAGATGTGTTAGGTCAATGTGAACCTGGTCATCAACGAGTTGCTGAGTGGGACATAGGTTTTCTATCCCGTATATACAAGGTGATAATATCAGAGCTGTAGTCAAAAACGAGCGGGTTACAACTGAAAAAACAGTGTCCGTGCTATGATCATTGAGTATAGAGTTCACCAATATTGGGTATCATTACAGGAAAGAGCCTTCGGACGGAGCCATCATGAAGCTGTTACAAAATATCTCAAGCTCGGTAATGTTTTGAGAAGTGAGTGTTTTTATTGATTTTGTATTGTTATTAGTATATTTATATACAATTTTAAATATAGTGGCCAATAATAAACTTTAGGTTTCGACAATCTGATAGAAAAACTTTATGGAATACGTTTTGAGCAACAGAACAGCGAGAAAGGCGAACTTTGGCATAGTAGTGTCCTTAAATTTGTAACCAGTACTCTTTGTAATTTTTTTTCACTTTTCGCTACAGGCCGCAACCGATTCATCAACAGGCCGACTACTTGGTCAAATCTATATGGATATTGAAAGAAGATCTACAAAAGCTGTCGGCGATTGTCATTACACTGTGAGATGTTCAAAAGAAGTGCAGCTGTCTTCATAGGTCAACCCTAATTTAACAAAATACTCAGATGGCAAACGGAGATTGGCAGACACCAATAGTGGTTTTGTCTTTATCATTAACAGATGGTGGTGTAAGTGACTGGAGGCAGATTGGATTATCGTCTTATAGTGCGGAAAACTTATTCCATGAGCTCGGACATGCTATGCACAGCATGTTAGGGAGAACAAAGTATCAGCATGTTGCTGGGACACGTTGTCCTCAGGATTTCTCAGAGATTCCTTCAAACTTAATGGAATACTTTTTCAACGATGTAAATGTAACTCTGGGAGTTTTCAAAGCCTAGATAATGACAAGATTTCAAGGTTATGCAGACAGTTCTACGAGATAACGACGGGACTGGAATTTCATTGGAGCATGCTGCCACTCTCATTTCCTCAAGATTTGCTTTCACTTCAATAGAAACTGTTCAACAGGTTTGCTGTTTACAAATTTCTAATTTACTGATCTTGTCATAGGCGTTGTACGCTCTGTTTGATTTGGAGCTTCACGGCCCTGAAGCTCAGAACGTTTCAAGAGGTCTCATAACAACCACTGAACTCTTTCATTCAATATCAGCTAAAGCACTACCTTTACTAGTTAGGGATCCAAACACTGCGTTTCAGCATCGGTTTTTAGTTACATATAGAACATGTCTTCATTCTTCTCTGTTTAGCTTTCATCATCTGATTCAATATGGTGGGAAATATTATGCATATCTTGTTGCTAGGTCTTCTGCCAATTTGATTTGGAATTCAGTGTTCAGGGCGGATCCTTTCAATAGGCAAAATGGACTGAAATGGGCTGAGGTAAACGGGTCATATTACTTTGCGTTAAATTATGTGCAGGTACAATCTCATGGTGGTGGATTTCCCCCGAATGTGCTACTGAAATCCATACTTGGGTACAGTCCAACTCCCAGTCATTTAATCAAAGCTTTAAAAGAGGAAGCTGCAAATGTTTCATGCTTGGGAGCAGTTAATATTTAATATTTTATTACATTCGTTATTGAATAAAATGAAAAATATACAATAGGGTTATGCATTAAGGGTTTGCATTATCAATAATTGTTGTTGAATCCACGGCCGCGACGAATGACACTTCCAGAATCCATAAAGCTCGTGATTGGTTCAAAACGATCAACATTCTGAAATTTCTTAGAGATTTGCCACTTAGCTCACTATATATTATACCTGACTAGAGAATCCACGATTCCCACCCCCAATCGCTGTTCGAAAACGTTCATTTTTTCGGAACCTTGCATTACCGTTTCCTCGTGTTCTTTGAGGAACGGTTTGAACGTATTCCACACGTTGCTGAGGAGCCCTTCTACGAATAGTTCTTTGTTGAATTTGTTGAACTTGTTGAACTTGTTGTACACGTTGTACACGTTGTACACGTTGTACGCGAGGAGGCTGCTGAGCTATGACAACGCGACGAATGGCAGGTCTTTGATTCCCAAAGTTGTTTGCAGGTACAACGGTACCACCGGTCAATCTAACTCTTCCACCTCGGGGATTTCCTCTGCGAGAGGTGAAAACTTGTTGAGTTACAACAGGTGCTACTACTCTTCTTCTGACCACTGGGACAGTTCTTCTTCTAGGAGGAGAGGCAACACTACGGAACAGAATGTTAGAGATTTACCGCCCTCACACTTACTACTCGTCTTGGTAAACAACAGTTGGAGGTTGAACATAATTTTGACGAACGATGGTAGTGGGCTACAAGAAAGAGGATTTTTGCAAGATTCCATTTTTTTCTTACCTGAATAACAGCACGTCTTTGAATGGCTCGAGATCTAATATTGACACGGGCCAGAGCAGGACGCCCAGAAATTCCTCGAGCACGAACCTGAAGATATGTACTTACCAATCAGGAAGACAGATCTTTTTAGAAAAAAAGACAGTACTATACGAAGAGGAAAAGAGTTCTAGTTATTGAACGAGGTCTTGGTCGTTGAAAACGGTTGCTCAATTCGTACATTCGTATCAGGCAAACATTTAGTGATGGTGGGTCTTTTGAGAACGACACAGGAGATCAGTGTCACAGGAGACTATTGTTTCATGCTCCTGGCCCACACTCGCACATATTATATAATTTATAGCCATAGGCGCTTAAACATACTCCTCCACGCCTTACAGGGGCGTTAGTTCTTTGTGCTGCAGCCATGCGCGTTTTCAGAGCTTTCTTGAAAACAGAAATTAGAACAGTCTATGAGATAATAAATCATACCTTGACAAGCTTCTGAACGAGCTTTTTTGTCTGAACGCTAGATAAAGATGTTGCCGCTCCTTTTTTAACAGCAGCTCCTTTGCGTACTGGAGCTTTACGAACGTTGCGATTCTGAAACCAACGGTTTCATTTATGTACGACCAACAATAAAACCTGTTGTTTGCCTCTTACATTACGAGGGGCTTTGCCCTTTTTCTGTTGTTTGTTCATTTTAATAATGTCATCTAAGGCCATGTTAACCTTATTGTCAGTCATTCTTCCTGAAACATTATAGATGAGCTATGAATGCCAATAGAAATTCCTGATATGAAGCAGATTTGAATATTGATCGTTAATGTTTCGTAACTTAAACAGCTGACTCATTTAATTAATCTTCAAATTTAAGGGAACAGTATTCGAAGTATGTTTTCAAACTTGTTTGTAAGAATTTGATAGAGAAGAGAAAGATCTAATGTTCGAATGGATTTATGAAATAGAATTAGAAATAAAAATAAAGAGAAAGAGACGCTCACGTGCTTCATCGAGCGGAGAAACCTCAATGCCGCTGACTGATCCGCGTGCGCCGCTTGCACGCTAGGGGCGGAGTTTCTTTTCGAGACCAATAAAATGTTAACAAGAGTTCGCTGTCTTTTTAGCAATGAAATATAATGGATAATTTGAACTTCTTATGTAATTTTATAATTTGAAACATTTTCTTGTTTTCAGGATGAGTGAAGAGAACAAACCACCTCTCAAAGTTAACAAATGGGATGGACCTACTGTAAAAAATACATTAGATGATGCAGTTAAACATGTAAAAAAGCTGTCTTTTGTTCCAGGTCATTTCCAATTTTACAGATTTTGAATGACAAAATCGGATGGAGAGAGACTTACAGCATTATGGATGGACGTTTACTTATATCATTCATAGCGGTGTGCTTTTCTGCTTTCGCCATTGGTTATGACTACATTCATCCGTTCCCGAAATCGAAATGGGTTCGTTTTTTTTCACTTCACATTAAATGGTTGTGAAACAATTCAAAGTTACTTCACGAGAATAAACTACCGCGCTATCTCTAGTGTTGAGCAGATAATGGGACAGATTGGTTCCAAAAAAAATGGAAGTTACCGTATGTAATTCCAGGTTCTTGCTACCTGTTCAATTACTTACTTCTTGCTCATGGGAGTTCTCCAGCTCTACCAATGGTATGTTGAGAAGAACTGCTTTTATCAAGGAGTGGAAACTGAAGGAAAACAAAAACGAATCTGGAAATGGAGCTCGGAGTTGAAAAGGTTTTGAATATACTTTCTGCTAGTGCTTTATATTCAAATTTACCCTAGCTATGATGACAAGTATACCTTATCTGCTGAGTTTTCAAAAGAGAGTAGAAGAGGTCATGGGAATATTTGCAAATCGATCGGAGCCTATATAGATGATGATGGAGAGGTAGGTTGTATATATCAGAAACTGCCGTTGGCATGATTTTGTTTATATTCGAGTATAGTATCGGAGGGCATTTTGATAATGTATTGTTATTTTTTGATTTAGGTTGTTCTGCCAGTGTTGCGAAAGGAAGTTAACCAACTTTACTCTAATCTGCTTAAGGAGGAACAATAATTCGTTTGTTGAGTTTTGTACTGTATGCTTTTATAATCGTATTTATGCAAATGCTGGTGTATTGCTAGTCGAGCATTAATTTGAATTAACTTATGGTATATCGTTTAATTTATTGCTGGTTGATGACAATGAACGGTTTTGGGATTACATTCCTTCATTATTTCTTGATGGTTTACCCATTACGCTATCTGCAGTTGAATCGTTTTTATTATTTTGAACATAATCATTGTTGTAATCTGGTTTCAGAATGCTCAGTTTACAGTAGGTATGGTTACATGATACTCAGAAGAAATGCAAGAAAATGGTTCATCATCTTCCACCGAACCTTGTATCGATCCACAGTTTGTACGAGTAAGTTCATTGTTAAATACCTTAGACCATCCTTTTTACAGTATGTGGGTGAGGCTGTTGGTGTGCCTAACATGACTGCAGGTGCAGTGCAGTATCTTTCTGATCAAGTTTGTTCTGAGAATAAGTTGAGATCTTCACGTTTCACTCTTTGAGGTTACCCGTTTACTTCTACAAAGTATTTCCAAAGCGAAACAGTATTCTATCCATAGTCGACGGACAAAAATGCTTCCTGAAGACTTGGAATCTTCGCTCCAGCTAAGCAGACTTAGAGTATATTCTTGATTTTGAAGATAAGGTTATGTATCATGCTTGAGGTTCCTTACGGCTATATCAAAAAAAGGGGTCCTGAGCTTCATGCTACAACTACTCCCAATGGTCCCGAATTATACACTCGCGAAAACTTCGATATAGAAGTAGCTAATATCAAAGAAAACGTCCAAGGAAAAATTCCAGTGAAAACTAGTATCAGATGTATTAATACTAGCATTTTGTGTGAAAATTACCGATTGTTTTAGCTCACTGGTTAGCCGTTGATGGAAAACTCGCTATTGTTCCGGAAAACGTTCGGCCTCCAAAAGAAGAGGATGATGATGATCCTCTTGGAGAAGATAATGATCTTAGAGCTGCTAAGTTATTAGCTAGGTGAATGTGCTCTCCAGTATGGTAGGTAATATTTTTTATTTCAGGAGAGAGACAGCTGGAGGTAGCGTTGGAGCGTCGATCGCTTTCCGAGCTGCTATGAAATCAATTACAACAAAAGAAACTGTGAATATTCGACTCCCAAATGTAGAGCCATTATCAGTGGTGAGTAAGACCACACAACTCGTGTTTTAAGTAAACGGAACCTAATAATATTTGTTTAGGAACAGCAACAGTACCTGAAAATTATATCAGAGGCTTGCGTTGGTTATGATGATGGGGAACGTATTGGCGCTTTACATTCTCTCGAAGTAGATACTGGTCTTCAGCCTATTTTGCCTAGATTTTCCAAAATGGTTTTTAATTCGGTATATTCATTACTGAGGTTGTTTGAAATGTTTGAGATTTTTCTAGGTTCGATGTAATATCATTCATAGATGTCTTTCAATGCTCATTTACGTTGTGCGTATGGTTCGTGCAATATGCTCGAATCAATCGTTGAAGCTGCAGGGAGTGGTACTTCGTTTTCTCGGAACAATGACTATTTCTTATTTGTAGTTACACGAACTGATTCCGTCTCTAATTAGCTGTATGATCGGGAGACAGTTGTGTTCTCGTCCAGAAACAGATAACCATTGGGCTCTACGTGAATTTGCCAATCGAACGCTCATTCAAGTTATCAAGTATGATTTATATCAGGACATCAAAATTTATTACACTTTCACACAGGGACCACGGTTTCTCAGACACAAAAGTTAGGGCTTTGAAAACGATTAGACGTGTATGGGATGATCCTAATTCTACTTATCCTATGTTATACGGTTGTTTACCAACTCTTTCCGAATTTTCTGATAGAGACGAGGTTTGATTTCATTCATAAACTATCCTCTACTCGAATAATTTGTAGCGTGTCCTTTTATTAGAACGGGTGAATCAACTAATTTATGAAACGTCTCAAATAGATTTTTCCGAAACTTCTTCACTGGACAGAGTTGAGGCTCAAAAAACAAATGCATTTTTATTGGTTTGTGTGCATGAACAGTTGAGGCTCACCATATGTATTTCAGAAATTTGAGAACAGTATAAAAAAATCGCTCTGAGGAAGTGATCATTCAAAATGCCGTCTTAGAAAGTTATTGTAATTTATTTTATCCTGATGTCTTGCTCGCATTCGTAAATTAATCCCGATCTCTTATTTGCTTCCAAAATTGACAAGACTCACTTTTAACTTCAATTAGGTAACTTTGCAGCAGCGTTGATCGTTGTTCTTAATAAGCTCTGTAATAATCCCGATTTAATCGTCAACTAATTTCTTAAATTCGTTTCTTGTACATTTTATTCATAAGAGAGGCAAGGTATTTTTATTTTTTCTAGTCCTAATTGATAAAGTTTGATGCCAATAACACTTTGTTATCCACTGGATGTCCACATGGCTACTTTGAAATGTTCTTCTTTTGCATGTTATGATCATATTTAGGATCTTTCTATGGTGCCTTTGCCTGATATAGTAGATATGAATAATGGATCAATAAAGAGTGGATTTAGTGATGGTACTTTCAAGAAATTGCTTGAGTGGTGAGAGAGAAAGTTTTCAGATGCCATTCCATCTACTTCTACTTCATTTGCAACTGATGATTACATCAGACGAGCTGCTGAATCTGTGGGAATGGGTTCTCTGAATCCGAATGGTTTACAGTTCTGTACTCAATCCACCCAAACTGCTAGTTTCAGCTATAACTGCGACTTCTAATAATGTGATGTATGTATTGAGGCACATCATTAGCAATAGTGTCAAGTTTGCTAATCATGCTAGGAGGAAAAGAGTATTGGCTGAAGACATAGATGCCGCCATGCAAATTGATCGAAGACCGGTATTCCCCTCGTATTGTTCTAAATTGATCATTATATAGCCTCAATTCGGGTTCAAAACTCGTGAACATCTGCCTATCAGATTGGTCGGCTCAGGTGGCAGAGAAGTTTTTGTTGATGAGGATAAAGAAGTGGAGTTAGCTCCTATATATACAGCACCTCCTCCTAAGATATACTCTCATGCCACAATACGTGGTTTGTTTGTTTTTGTTTTCAAAATTTTAGCTTCATTTTTTTAGCGCATTGGCTAGCTATTGATGGGGAGCAACCTGCGGTACCGGAGAATCCTGTTCCGATTGATAAACCGTCAGAAGGAAATGATAGAGATGCACAAACTGAAGAGCAGACTCAAGTTAGTTTTTCATCGACCACCTCTATTTTTTTTCATTATGTAGGATGACTCTTCGCGACTATTGCTAATGAAAGGGTCCAAGAAATCTGAGCATGTAAACATCAGAACTACAGCTACTCATGTTCTATCTCTAGTTCGTTACAATTTCTGAAACTCTTAATCATTTCCATAATCAGGAGCAACAAGTCTTCTTCAAAGAAATCACAGAAGCAATCATGGGTACGGATGACTTAAAAAGAACAGTAAGTGAAAGCGATTTGACTTGAGCTTAACTATTTTCATCAGGAAGCGCTACATTCTTTGAAAACAGATGCAGGGCTGCAACCGCTGATTGGCCGTTTCTCCATCACTGTCACTGAAGGTAGTAGAAACAGCTTTTTCTATACTCGTTCATTTTTAAGGCGTGAAATGCAATATAGTTCAACATAATTTAGCATTCCTTATTTACTTAATGCGGTTAGTACAAAGCTTATGTGCCAACCCTCATGTTAGTTTAGAAAAATATGTAAGTAACACGAAATCTTCTACTTCACTTAATGTTATTTACAGTTACACGAGTTATTGCCTTCCATTTTATCCTGTGTTCTAAGTAGGCAGTTATGCTCTCGTCCTGATTCCGAAAACCATTGGGCTCTCCGAGAGTTTGCAAGCCGTTTACTAGCTGATCTCTGCAGGTTGAGGAATCAAAATTAAAACTGCATACCCTTGTTCTTTTATAGAAAATATCATACCCTCGAATTGCAATCTCGTATTACGAAGGTTTTGACTAAAGTCTGGGCTAATGAAAATTCCTCTATTGCTACACTATATGGATCTCTCTTTGCTCTAAATGAACTAGGAACTGAGGTATAACAACGCTTGTTTTCTGCAAGGCATACAGTGTTATTCAGACAATAAGAGCAGTCGTTGTGCCTAGAACTTCTTTACTTTATGAACGCTTGCGAGTTTGCGTGAACGATCGCACTAATTTGAACGATAAAATAGCTGCTGAACGGTTTATGTCATTCATGACGGCATGTTTTCATCTTATATGTTTGCTATTATTTTTCATATTACAGAAAGTCCTAATTAATTACGTGCGAACCCAGAGACCGACATCCCTCAGAGAATTCAGCGACTATGCTAATATGTTTGGCGGCTTCGCTGATTCTGTTTATCGGTTTGTTTTCAAAATACATCAGAATGAGTAACTCAAATTCAGAGTCGTGGCCACTGACGTTCCCTCTTCGACCCGCTTAGGAGCGACGCCCATCCGTGCCAAACATATTACCGCACCTCCAGCAGCTCAGGTTATCTTACAGTGTGAACTGGATGATTTAGAATAATTTAAGTCCTCACCTCGCATATCATCACAGTTAAGTACTCCCCCTGTTTCACAGCAACGAATGGTTCAGCGATCTGTTCATATGAACCAAACGGTGAATTTTATGAACTGAAATAATATTTTTGAAGAAGAGTTTTTATGTATTTATTGAATCGCAACCGCTTGCATCTAGATAAAACAATGAAATAATACAATATCATATCCCGAGTTGATTGTGAAGTAGGATGTTGCCTGTTGAGCCACATGCGCTCAGTGACTTCACCTTATCTCGTGAATTAATTTAAAGAATTACCCATGAATTTCCAAGCTTGTTATAACATTATTCATTCTGTTTTTCATCAGTAAATTTAGACGCCACAACAACGTCAAACTACCGCTGCTATGACACCAAACAGCCAACAACAGGTATGCATATAAAATGAAGTTACTTATAAATATAAATATGTTCGTTTGTTTTTTCAGGTCCGGTACAATTCCACATCTCACATGATTCGTCGTCCTGGTTATTCTGGTAATCAAGCTCCACAGCCCCCCAGTGGGCAATAATAAAAGCAAAGCTCAATTCTTTTCCTTAAATGAAGGGTATTTAAGTTTTAATATATATTTTGTGACAAGGACAAAATCCCATTATTTTGTGTTTTGTCAATGATGAACAGGTATATTCTTGAAATTCGTTGCAACTTCTGTTTAATTCTTTAAAACTGTTAATATTGTGTTCTATAATTGATTGCGCGTAGGATTAAGCATGAATATGTAATGATCGCTCAATTCTTTTTGTTTTGAAAATATAAAACGAATAGTTTCCGTCTTGAAATAGATTGAAAAAGTGATGTTGCATCATCATGAAATACTGGAATCCGTGAAATTATATAATTGGAACTTCTGTTAACAAGTGTATCAAATCAATTGTGTTCCGAAGGTAACGGAATTATCATCATAGTTGCATGTTATTATGAAAGGTTCTCATTGATCAAGTATCAAATCAGACTACCATTCACTATCTTTTCATCTGCACACATGTATATCTTAGATAGATTCTTACTTCTATCAATACCTAGTAGCTAGAACTAATATTTACCCCTATGTCACACAGTGAACAAGTTCACGTCTGCTGTTCTTCTTTATAGCAAGCATAGGTGCGAACAAAGATCCTTTTTTCAACTTTATTAATATACCTAGACAGTAGTCTATGTTTATTTCCTTCTCATATTGGAGTGTGTGAGAACATAAATGGACACCTGCCTCTCCTTTATTACATAAAGCATTCTATAATTAGCATAAAAATCTAAATGAAAAATCGATCACTGCTGCTTTCTCATGGCTACAGCTTATCTAAGAAACTTTGAGAAGCTCAAGCCAAATCCGAAATGTCTCTAATCGTGTTCTCTGTCGGATGATCTCTGGGTGTTCAATAGTGAGTGAACCAAGTGTCGAAAAGGACCCGCCCCTCCAGTTGGAGGCCTTTCTAAGAAAGTAGCTGGGCATTGCCTTTTTTCTTTAACATTCTTCATTATCATAGAAATGTAATAAAGTCGTATCTTCCTGATTATTATCAGAAATTTTCAGACCTCCGAACTGTCATTCTTGCTGCTAAGTTATTGCTTTTAGATCGTCTCGCATTGATACAGAATGTTTATTTTTGTTCATTTTATTAACCTTAGAAGACGAAGCACGTTCATATTCTAGTCGAAACTTATGGTTTTATTTCTACGCCTTTAATAATGAAAGATAGTTTCCAATACCTTTATCAATTCCTAATCTCTCTATCGTTATGACCATAAAATCTATAAAAAAATTAATTTTCTCGTTTCAAACTCACAATATTCTTTCCTCTTGTCACTTCCTCAGTTTTTTCTTTTCATTTCAAACAGTTCGAAATCTCATTTAATGACTATGTGCACCTCGCGAGATAATCGTTCAAACCTCCAAAATAACATATAACATATCGGAGAGTGCTTTCAATTCTTTTGTTGTTTTCTTTTTATATTGTGCACTTATCGATTTTATCCACCTGGCCTCTCTCATGAAATATAAAGAGTGTTCATTCTTTGATGCAGAAAAGAATGATCTTTGTGTCTGTTCCTATCATCTGCATTTTCCTATCAGCTCTCCCTCCTTTCCTACCTATCTCTTCCTCTCTTACTCCCTCTTTCCCTCTCTTTCTCTCTTTCTCTCTATCTTTCTCTTCCTCCCTTCTTCTCTGTCTCTCCTCTCTCTGCATCTTCATTATATGCTTCCTGTTGAAATATCTCTTTCTCTCGCTCTCTAACTCTTCTTTCTTTTTCTCTTACTCTTCACATCTTCTATACAATGTTTCCTACGTATTTTATAACCTTTCCTAGGCAATTTCTAAAAAAACTCTTGTAAGCTCGCTGCGCAATGAAGTCTTCTCTAAAAAAAGTGCAAAAAGGGAAAAATGTTCTATTCAACGCTCGTTTGACTTCGATATATATATTGCACTGTAAACAGTATTCTTTTCATTTTTGTTATAACTTTCATCTCTCCAAGGGTACTCGTCTATTTTGTTTTTTTCGTAGTTATTGATCTTTCGTACTCACTAACAGATAGATGATGAGGAAGGTCATTGATCGGGCAGGCAAGGAAAAATATGTAAAATCGTTTTTTTCTCAACTCTATTAATAGATTATGTATCTTTGTTCTTAATATAATGGGGATTTCTTCGTAGATGGTGTAATGTGGTCATGCTTTTGTGAATTCTACTTTTCATTATGACTATGATTGACCTTCCAAGTGGCTCAAAAACCATCTCCTTCTGACAAAAGAGCGTCTCATATCGAGACTTCCTACCTTTATCGGCAATGCTCTCGAAACCATACTGTCAATTTGTCTTTTTTCAACCTAACAGATAGGAACCAAGTGCAGCTTGTTTCTCTTTTTTTCTTCTTCTTCTTCTTCTTCTTCTTCTTCTTCTTCTTCTTCTCCGTCGTCGTCGTCGTCGTCTTCTTCTTCTTTTTCTTCTTTTTCTTCATCTTCTTCTTTTTCTTCTTTTTCTTCTTCTTCTTCTTCTTCTTCTTCTTCTTCTTCTTCTTCTTCTTCTTCTT